TAGTAATAAGAGTCAATCGTACAATCAATATAATAAGAATATATTACATTCAAGTATATTGAATATTCAAATATTTTTTATAGATGAAAAATTTGAGTATAAAATGTTAAGTATAATACACAATTGAATAGTTAATTCTTTAACTTAAACTGTTTCAGAGAGTTTTTTTACCAAAACTTACTCTAAAACCAAGACAAGTTAAAAGAATGATCTCAACATTGTAATCTTTGTAATTTTATACTTTTTTCCTAGGGAGATTGAACTTGTGAAATTGCTTCTCACTTATTCTCACTTTCAACGTCATTGCTCACTTCTACTCACTTGTTTAATTACTAATTATAAATTTATGAAGAAAAATATAAAGTGAATAGTAATAAATCAACGAATAAATTTAAATTCATATAACTCAAAGTATTCATACATTCCACATGTAAATTTAAAAGGAAAAAATCTAATCATTGTAATAGCCATTAATAACATCAACGCTCTAAGATTGCAAAAAAACGCTCAAAATACCTATTGACTGATATATTAATTAGAAATGAAAGTTATGGTATTTTTACCATTAAAGATGTTTATTTATTTTCCTTGGAATAAATTGTTTCTTTCTTTAAAAAACAAATGTAATATCAACAATATTGTATATTGAGTTTTTCAATTGAAATGTTGAAAAAATAAACATTGATTATACCATTGAATTACATTGTAGAATATTAAAAAGTCACCGAGCTTTTTTCTTGGAAAAATCTTTAATTGTTAAAAAATGCGTTGAGGTGTGAAGAGATTAATTGGTGATCGTTAAAAGTTACGAAAAGTGAACTCACTGAGGGAGCGCCGACAAAAAATGTCAAAGTTGAACAAAAAAATTTTGTCATTTTGAATTGGACATTCATTGCTTTTAAATTTCATCTAGTTCTTTTTTTCGTTTTTCAATTCGATTTTGTAAGTTACGATGAATATTAAACGTGAAAGTTTCGATGTTTCATCCTCTCCTCCACCGCAGTTACCCCTTCCACCACCTCCACCACCTCAATTTTCCATACAAGGGGCTCGAAACCCAACACTTGTGACCATCCCGCAACATTTCTTAACCCTAACCACCCAACCTCCATCATCAACAATTACTCGGGATCCAAGATTACGAAGTAGTGCAACAAGGGAGAATATGCTTCGTAAAGTATCAAATCCATCGCGGAATATTGCTAAGCCAACAACAATCAGGGAATTGCTGCGACCTAATCGTTCACCAAATAACATGGCTACGACTTCAACACACAACCCTAACGCACCATTTTGTTGTGTCAATAATTGCTGTGTTACCTGTTGTCCGTATGTGCGTCATCAAATCCTTCATCAATTTGCGAGTGAACAAACAACTGGTTTGGACAAGCCATTCTTTCCAAGGAAACCGTCAAATATGTAAGTACATATTCATATGAAATACGAAATGTGTATTGTAATTCTTTGTCTATATGCTCACAGTGCTGCTGGACGAACTATGAAAGAGCGTGTTGATCATGCAAAAGATTTTCTGGAAAATATTAAAAAAGGCTACATACGAGCAGCAGACCGTGACGAAATCATCAAATTGCTGGATGACCTTTTCATTTCACGATAATGTGTGCATTCGCCAAAGTGCTTTTTTGCATGTTTAACATAAAATAAAATGAGTTTAAACTTCCATTTTTATATGCATATTGCTTTGAAAACCAAGAAATAAACATATATAAAAAGTTATAAAAGTTTGCTAAACTTTATGCAAAAGTTATAAAAGTTTGCTAAACTTTATGCAAAAGTTGAAAAGGTTTCGAGAAAAGCATCAATATATAAAATAATAATGAAATCAGGCGAAAGATAAATGACAGTAAAGAAAAATTAAGTTAAATAAGAATAGGAAGAAAAGAAGAGAAAGTTATAAAGCTTAGAAGAAAGAGATGGAAAGAATATAAAGAAAGAGATATAGAGTGAAGAGAAAGAAAGAGATGATGAGAAGAGAAAGAAAGAAAATTGATGCAGAATAGATGAGATGAGAACGAATAAAGAGTTGAAGAAAAGGCCAGAAAAGAGAAAAGAAAGATAAAGAAAAATGAGAAGAGCAAGAATGAAAGAGAAAGAAAGAGAAGAAAAATTCATTGAGAAATTGTGCCATGATTGCCATTGTGCATTCTGTTTTTTTTTATATTTTATTAGATGAAGAGAAAGAGATGAGATAAGAAGAGTTGAAATGATGAAGAGAAGAAAAGAGAAAGAAAGAGAAAAAGAGAAGAGTAAGAAAGAAAGGAAGAGATAAGGAAGAAGAGCAAAGGAAAGAGAAAAACAAAGAGAAAGAAAAAGAAGAAAAAATCATCTAAAAATGATGAAGAGAAGAGAAGAGAAGAGAAAGAAAGAAAATAAGAGATGAGAAGGGAAGAGAAAGTAAGAGAAAGAAAGAGAAGAAAATTTATCAAGAAAATGATAAAAAGATGAGGAGAGAAGAGATGAGAAGAGAAGAAAAAATTATCAAGAAAATGAAGAGGTGAGAAGAGAAGAGAAGAAAAAATTATCATGAAAATGATGAAGAGGAAAAGAAAAGGAAAAGTTAAAGGGAAAGAAAGGAGAGGAAAGGAAAGGAGAGGAAAAGAGAAAAGAGAAAGAAAGAGTAAAAAATTTCACCCAAAAAGATGAAAAGATGAGTTGAGAAGAGAAGGGAAGAGGAGAGAAAGAAAGAGGCAAAATGAAGAGACGAGACGAGAAGAGAAAGAAAGAGGATAAAATTTCATCCAAAAAGATAAGAGATGAGAAGAGAAGAGAAGAGAAGAGAAGAGGAAAAGAGAGATGAGAAAAAAAAACGATTGAAATTCATTGGAATTGGCCTTCACTGAATTTCAATCGTTTTTCACTTCCTGTCTTTCTTTTCCTCTTTCTTCTCTTTCTTCAGCAGCCTTCTCTGGAACTGTGTGCTAGCACAACTTGACCTTTTTCCTGGAAAAAGGTCAAGTTGTGCTAGCACAGTGTGCCAGAGTGGGCTGCTTATAGTCTACTAACCTACAAAGGTAAAAGTTTTGTATCTTTTTATTAAAAGTAACAATTGATTTCAATGTTTAATATGGACTCACACTTAGCCTGTTCAAGGATTCTAGAAGATAGTTTCCGAGAGTAAAAGTATTCAAAATTAGTTACAGTAAACCCTCTCAAATTGTCACGTCGTGGGATTAGCATCTTGGCTATTTTCCTATAATAATTAGGCAAAATAGCCCTTTTACGAATTTAATTAAATTTTAAAATTTAATTATTAATTCAATTTAGGTGTTTTTGATTTCTAATTTGATAATTCCTGTATTGAACAGTATTAAATAGTAATTAAGAGTCCTCTCAAAATTTTCCTAATTAAAAAAACTGAATTAAAAGCAATTGTTTACTCGGTTACCATGACTCTGGGACAATTAGAGAGGGTTTACTGTAGTTAAACAGTTGATCTTTCTTTTTCACACTTTCTTTCGATTCACTTTCTCATTGTAACTTAAAATAAATGGAAAGGCATTCCAATATTTTATGTTCTTTATTTCATTTGGGTAAAGTGTCTTATGGTAATGAGAAAGAACTGCGGAATAAAGCTGAATATTCAGAAGGTTTCAATGATGGTTTTGGGGAGAACCTTATCGGCGATGAAGAAGATCAGATGAGACTTGTCAATATGAATGAGAAAGAGAGAGAAATGGAACCATTTGCTCGATCTGCGAAAAGAGAAGTATTAAAGACCAGATATGAAATTGAACGGAAATTGCGAATGGCCAAGAAAAAAGAAATGATGCAAAGTCAAATCAAGATGAGAAGTAATGAGCGACGCAGAAACCTGGAGGAAAAGAGGAAAGTCAAAAATGCTATCAAATGATTTAAAGGTAAAGCCCATTTTGTATCAATTAGATGTAACTCTGAGCTCTATTCAGTTTTCGCAAATTATCGCATCTTTTAATATTTATCTTCTTTATTTAATAGGTTTCAAGTGTCTGATGATAATGAGAAAGAATTGAAAATAAGGCTGAAGGGTGGGACGAAGATTCAGAAGGTTTCAATGGTGTTTATGAGGAAAACCTTATCGGCGATGAAGAAGATCAGATGAGACTTGTCAACATGAATGAGAAAGAGAGAGAAATGGAACTATTTGCTCGATCTGAGAAAAGAGAAGTATTAAAGACCAGATATGAAATTGAACGGAAATTGCGAATGGCCAAGAAAAAAGAAATGATTCAAAGTCAAACTAAGATGAGAAGCAATGAGCGACGCAGAAACATGGAGGAAAAGAGGAAATCCAAAATGCTATTAAAGGATTGAAAGGACCATTTTGAATCAGAATCCATTGGAAACAGCAAGACAACAGTCGATGGAAAAAGATATTTATGCTTGAGCAAAAAAAACATTGGATGTAACTCTGAGCTCATATCAGCGTTCTCAAATAATCGCATACATTAACGCAAATTGTTTCAGTTGAGCGATCAGTCAGGCGATCTTAGACATTTCAAGCTGGAAGTATGCAAGAGAAGGAATCAACTTTCTAGACAAACAATTTCAAACTAATATTTTCCCTAGGAAACAGGATTCTTTTGAAATCCTCATATCGAGCTGAGAGGGAAGCCAAATTAAAATTACATTACAATCTATTCCAATAATTAGTTTTCTCTTCTGAAAGCGCCATTTCGAGTCATAGATTCCATTAGGATTAGGCTCTTTTTGGTACCTCGCTAAACAAGAAAGTCTTTTCCTTTTACCGTACTCTTTTCGCAACCGAATGTGGCGTACAATATCACGCTAAAGCATATTAAACTTTCAATTTGTGAAGCGCAACTGCTGGTTGTAACAATTAATTATACTCAACCAAACTCTTCTTACCGTTGATTAGATTCTAAGTCCAAATCTTTAACAGTTAATATATTAATAGGTGATGTACTGTAAAGATGTTTATTTTAATCAAAAAAAAAGACATTGAAAATCCAGTGAAACTCTGATCTCAGTGTTCTTCAAAATATAGATCATTTATTTATGTGATGTTATGCAGTTTAATTCAATATTTTTATTTTGATTTTCCTTCGGCCTTTCTCTTCAGGGGAAGTAGGTAAAGTGGACTAATTATTTGAACAGTAAATTGAACATTAAGTCACTAAGTTTATTCAAGTGTATTTTTGCTTTGCTGTTTATTTCATTTAGTCCAAAGAGTATAGCAATTGCTCTGATGATTATTTTAGTTTGCATTAACGCAAATAGGTCAAATGCTTTATCATTGCTTTTAGTTTATCATGAGAAAGCGAATTGGGAGAAAGTGTGAAAGAGCTAACTGTCTAGACGAACAAATTTTAATCCTTTTTTCGCAGACAGTTTCCTGGAATCTTTATATCAACCTGAGGGTAAATCCATATTGAAATTACATTGCAATCAATTTCAATAATTGGAATTCTTTTCGGGCACGGCCATTCCGATTCATAGATGTTGTATAATTTCAATATTTACTGAACAAGTATAAACCTTAAACTAACTCTTTATTAGATTCAATACTAAACATTAAAAGAAACAACTTATTGTTGTAACAATGATTGACAAGGATATTGATAATAATTAGTAAAAATGATCAACAAAAACCCTAACAATACTCAACAGCCCCTCATGTTGATTATTTTACTTCATCTCATGTAACAATAAACCAAGAAATTCATGAAACTTGGGACTTGCAAGTGGTTTCGTCATGATATCAGCTTTGTTAGCTGAGCTTTGCACATATTTCAATCTTACTAATCCATTTTCAATTTGGTCTCTAATAAAATGATGGCGAATGTCAATATGCTTCGTTCGTGAGTGGAATACAGGGTTCTTAGCTAATTTGATTGAACCTTGATTGTCACAATTAATGTCTATCGGTGTTTCAACCTCATAGCCTAATTCATTCATCAATGATTTCAACCAAATAACCTCTTTAACTGCCTCAGTCTCAGCCATATACTCGGCTTCAGTTGTCGACAAGGCTATAGTTTGTTGCTTTTTGGTGTTCCATGAAATCAAATTACTATTCAAATAGAACAAATATCCAGTCGCTGATCTTTTATCTTCAAAATTACCACCCCAATCAGCATCAACATAGCTCTCAAGAACTAGATGCTGAGTTTTGTTTGACTCAAGAATAATTCCAAATTTAGAAGTACCTTTTAAATAACGCAATACTCTTTTTGCTATTGTATAATGACTATTGGAAGGTGAAGATAAAAATTGAGACAAAATACATGTAACAATAGCCAAATCAGGTCTCGAACAAGTAACTAAATAATGAATCGAACCAACAATCTGTTGATATTTTGATTTCAGAATATTATCAAGTTGATCAGCTTCTTTGCAAAGTTTGACATTTGGGTCAATTGGGGTTGAAACTGTTTTACAATCATTCATTTCAAACTTCTCCAGTATTTCATTGATATATTTCGATTGATTCATTTGAATAGAATGATTAACCTGATCATGAACGATATTTATACCCAAGAAATATTCAAACTTATCCATGACTTTAGTTTCATATCGTGATGAAATATGGGCAATAAATTTACCAATAAAATCAGAACTCGTCGATAATATAATCAAATCATCGACATATAATACAATGAAACACTTGATATCATCTTCATTATAACTGTATATGCAGCTATCAGAGATACATCGTTTAAAGCCAGTTTCAAGAATAAATCCATTGATCTCAGAGTTCCAAGCATTTGATGCTTGTTTAAGTCCATAAATACCTTTCAGCAACTTACAAACTCTTCCTGATTGGTCATCAAAACCTTCTGGTTGCATCATAAATAGATCCTCCTCTATTTTACCGTTGAGAAAGGCTGTCTTGATGTCGATTTGTCTTATTTGCATTTTCTCAATCATTGCCAATTTGAAGATCAACCTTCATGTTGAGTGAAGCCTTTTGCTACCAATCTTGCTTTATACCGGTCAATTTCACCGTTACCTTTGGTCTTAATGGTAAATACCCACTTACATCTGATTAATTTCATACCTGGAGTTCTCGATACCAGAATCCAAGTACCTTTATCTCTTAATGATTTCATTTCATCGTTACATGCTTTAATCCATTCCTGTGAGTCATTTCTTCTCATTGCTTCGAAGAAACTTCTCGGAATTTCATTACTCATAAAAGCTGAATTGATTTCATCATGTTTCTCTTGGACCGGAAATTTTTCTTCATTGAAAACAACATCTCTTGACATATAGATGCGATGTGTTTCAAGATCAATAACTTTATAACCTTTATAATCATCATCATAACCAATGAAAATGCGCTCAGATGATCTTGGTGCTAACTTGTTTCTTTGTAACTTAGGAGTCAAAACATAACAAATACAACCAAATACCTTCAAGTTCTTCAATTCAAGTTTCTTGTTGTACCACAACTCAAATGGGATCTTATTATTGATACTAGAACTTGGTCTACGATTTAGCAGATAAACAGCTGTGTTCATTGCTTCAGCCCAAAACTCATCATTTAAATTTGCTTCGATTAACATGGAACGAGTGATTTCCAGCAAAGTTCGATTCAATCTCTCTGCTTTACCGTTCTGTTGTGGTGTATAAGGACAAGTCTTTTGGTGTTTGATCCCTTTTTCTTGGAATAGATTTCTTATTTCTCCAGTTAAATTTTCTTTTGCTCCATCACTTCTAATAATTTTAAGTTTTCGCCCTGTTTGATTTGTTACAAAGGTGATGAACTTAGTAATAAAACCAGAAACCTCATCTCGTTTCTTCATGAAATAGATGAAAGTGAAATGGCTGTAATCATCAAGGAACGTGATAAAATACTTATTACCATTCAAAGATTCAACTGGTAAAGGACCACAAACATCAGTATGTACTAAGTCAAGAATACTTTCAGATTTGGTTTCCGAAGAGGCAAATGGTTCTCTGGTTTGCTTCCCTAAAATACAACTCTCACAGTTGAACTCAACACTTCCAGTAACTGGCAATAAATTTTGCTTGACCATCTCTATCATTCCAGTTTTACTAATATGACCCAATCTTTTGTGCCAAATTAAAACATCATCATTCAATCCAGTTTTACAACACAAATATTGTTCAAATGATTTTATTTTGAATATACCATTTTCATTTCGTGCTTTTAGGATAACAATATTATTTCGAAAAACCTTGACATCATGAATAGTAAATATAACCTTCAATCCTTTCATTGTCATCTTGGACACTGACAATAAGTTTTGAGTCAAAGTTGGAATATGCAATACACCATTGACCATGAGTCTCTTACCAGTATCTTTATCGCAAAATAGGACGTCACCTTCACCAATTACCTCAACTTGACTACCATTGGCAATAGTTACCTTTTTACCTTCAAGTTGTTTGTAATTTATGAACCAATCAAATCGAAAGCACATATGATTTGTAGCTCCACTGTCTACAACCCAATCACAATTAGTTTCATTTTCATGAACCATTAAGGCCTCATATTCGGATTCAACAATATTACATTTATTCTTATTTGTATCTTCTTTTATTTCGTATTTTTTATCCTTCTCCATTTGTGCCTTTTTCTTGAAACAATTTTTAGCCATATGACCAAACTTATGACAATAATTACATTTACCATTAAATTTCACCTCTTTACCCTTTTCATTAGCATTAAAAGCTAATTGATCATCTTCATTATCGTTAGTTACTTGGGATTTTCGTCTACCGAACTCTTCTAATACACGATTACAGACAAAGTCGAAATCAACCAACTCCTTTTGAGTCTCAAGAGCAATGACCAAATTTTCATAATCTTTCGGTAAACTGTCCAAAAGTACCATTATCATCATCATCGTGTTAATTTTATGCCCAACTCCTTCTAGTTGATATCGTAATTCAATCAACTTATTAACATGAGTTTGCATATCATCTTTAATATTATATTTCAAATTGACAAATCGTCTCCAAAGAGTTCGTTGATTAGTTAAACAACCCCTTTCAAAATTATCACAAAGGGATTTCCAGGCTTTAATAGCATTTCCAGCCTCTCTAAGTAATCCCAAATACTGATCACTAACGGACAATACAATAGTACGATAAGCTTTGTCTAATTTCTTTTGATATTCTTGACGTTGCTTAGCATTGTTACCTTCACCACCTTTTCCTGTAACAATATCAAATAGATCATTTTCTTTAAGAATAATTTCCATCTTAAATTTCCAATTGTACCAATTAGCAGCACTTAGCTTTTCAATGGATAACACTTTTTCAGTCTCCATTTTCAACCAAATAATCAGAATTGAAATAAACACAGATTCAACAAAATCCTGAAGTAAATGAATTAATAGGAACCGACTGGACCCATAACCTGTTGTATAATTTCAATATTTACTGAACAAGTATAAACCTTAAACTAACTCTTTATTAGATTCAATACTAAACATTAAAAGAAACAACTTATTGTTGTAACAATGATTGACAAGGATATTGATAATAATTAGTAAAAATGATCAACAAAAACCCTAACAATACTCAACAATAGATTCCACTAGGATTAGGCTCTTTATGACGCCTCGCTAAGCAAGAAGGTCTTCTCCATTTACCGTTCTCTTTTCGCGACTGAATGTGATGTACGATATTATGCCTGTACAGCGAAAGCATAAAACAATACGAGCACCTGTATTTTATTTGCGCCTCTTTAGCAGCTTCATTTCCCGAACCGTACATCTCGCGTTTTAGAAAGGCTTCAAATTGAGGTCTGCTAATGATACGAGGCCTTGCAAAATACTGATAGAAAAAATAAAATAAAAATAAATAATACGAACAATTAAAATGAACATAAGACTTACATCTGTGACATTAGGTCCATCGAATTTTTCAGGATCCATATTTGGGTCTGTGATTTCAAATAAATCAACATAACCTGTATATTTATCCCATTGAAAGAAATAATCCCGTCGTGAAGGCAACGAACACAATTTATCAAGAGCTTGTAATACGTCTTCAATTAAATGAGGATATTCGACCAATGCTTTGTCTTGAATAGTGACCTGACTATTCACTCGGTTATTCACTGGACGATTTGCAGTATCTTGACCTTCAGCTTTGCTAATTCGATTAATGGTTGCAATTCTGCTACGACTTCGAGTTTTTGTTTTTTCTGGAACTGCTTTTTCATTTTTTTCCTGTAAATAAGCGTAATCTTTTCCTTTAGATATTGACGCCATAACTGAATTTTCAGATGAAACTTTGTCCTTTTCTCTACCACTTCCTGTTACTACTGTTCCTAAAAACACTGGCTCTTTTATCGATTTGGTCCATGTACCATCTCTACACACGACTTCCATTTTTTTTCTTATAGGGCAACTTGGTTTTTTGAGTTTACCAAACATAATACCTGAATTCAAGTGTCGTGTTACTGCGTATCTCATACCTGGTTTGCATACAAAACCACATTCGTAAGGGCACCCGTAAACTTTCCTACCCTTCGGAAATAGCTTTTTGTTCATAGTGTGTTTTTCTTTATCATCTTTTGCTCTAAATATTGACGCTCGAGCTGTACTTTCAGATGAAACTTTGTCCTTTTCTCCGCCCCTTCCTGTTACTGTTAATCCTGTGAACACAGTGTGTTTTTCTCGAGTGTTACGACTATTTCCTTCCAATACGACAGCTAAGCTATCAGCATCCTAATTAGACGAATATTTAAGAGAGAAAATAATAATTAGAACGATATGTAACAGATAAAATAGATCAAAACATAATTACCATTTTTAACTCCAGAAGACCATCTTTAGCATCTTGAAAAAAAGATATAAATCTTGTAGTCAAAAGTTGCAAGCTTTTTACTTGTTGAACACTTGTTTCATAATTTGGCGTAGACATGATTAGAACAAATAAAATGAAAAAGAGAGGAAATAAACTGAATCTGGATCAAATTTAAAGAGAATGTTAGAAAATTTGATAAAAAAGCGAATTTCGTGATTTAGAGACGGTGAGGAGGCAGTGTTTTGTGCTGGTTAGTTCAAAAGGTAAATATTAATAAGCATAATAAACAGTTGAAATTACGCTAATAAAAGCGTAATTTCAACTTAACAATTTAAAGTTTACAGTTTTTCTGGTTTCTCTTGTTACTCTTTGGTCCAGATTTTGAGACCATCGATATATCGATGTTGTGGTTCAATATTTACATAAAGTAAAAATATTAACTTTCAATTGCGAATCACAACTTTGCTGATTTAATTTAATCAGATTATGTTGCAATTATATTACAATTGATTGGATTTTAAACCCAAAATATAATAAATCGAATAATCATTGGCAAAGTCTTGTTCTGGTTGAGTTATGTAATTGTATTTAGTTGATCAGAAAGTTTTACACGAAAATTGAATTTGAAAAAAGCTTCTTCTAAAATTTTTAATTAATGTAATAGTCACAATTAGTGTCAATTGTTTTGAGTCAAGTCAGGCAATCCAAATATTTCTGTTTCATGGAAAGTTGTGTCGCGTTGAGGTCGATATGTCTGAAGAGCATTACAATTACTCTCTGTTTTGACCTGAATCCACGAAAAAAGTGGAAACTACTTCCCATGCATTTTCAAATTACAATGGGAAAGCTAATTAGAGAAAAGTTAGTCAAAATAAAATAGATTTCCGGTACGTACTGAATTCATGAAAAGAGTTGGAATGCCTTTCCATTTATTTTAAGTTACAATGAGAAAGCGAATCGGAAGAAAGTGTGAAAAAGAAAGATCAACTGTTTAAACAAACTAAATTTGAATCCTTTTACTCTGGAATCCTTAAATCCGAGCTGAGAGTAAATCCATATTAAATTACCTTGTAATTCATTTATATAATTTTGTTTCTCTTCTGAAACGGCCATTTCGATTCATAGACCCCATTAGGATTAGGTTTCTCGACAAATCCAAACAGCAGAGTAAAATGAAAAATAGCAAATTTTGTCAATTTGCCTCAAACCTTTGAGACTCAATATTTCGAGATTGGTAGAGTCAACAGTCTTCAAAGAAATGATTCAAAGTCAAACTAAGATGAGAAGCAATGAGCGACGCAGAAAAAAGGAAAAAAGGAAAGTCAAAAATGCTATTAAAGGATTGAAAGGTAAAGTCCATTTTGAATCAAAATCCATTGGAAACAGCAAGACAACAGTCGATGGAAAAAGATGTTTATTTTTAAGCAACGCTTTTGGAGATGCAACCCTTTTATCAATACTATTTTTCTCATTTATATCATAGTCATGGTGCCGCGATTGAATTAAAAGATGACGTTGGGAAGCTTTACGAGGACATGGTTATCTTTCAGGTTGAGCTTTTGTTACTTTGCATTCATTATTGTTATCCAATTCATCTCTTTCATAGCTTCTGCTTTACCTGCAACATCTTCGCACTCATCTTCGTGCCTCTCTGTATCAGAGTTATCTTCTTACCCCTTTAAATCTTCATTTGGCTTTTCATTTGATTTATCTGTTGATGTATCAGTTGTGGATGTAGATGGTAGAAGTAAATTGGCAGAATCGTCAACTGACATTGATTGTACATGAGGTTCATTTGTTTCCGGATACTGAATTAGCAAAGAAACTTTCATCGGCCCGTTTCTGTTTTTAAAAGTTCTGTAGTTTTCTAGGTCCAACCAACTTTGATCCTAGAAGATGTTGAATTTGAATAGAGTTTGTCATCGGGAAAATAATTTAGGAATTCTTTGGGTTCAACCCATAAATGAACATTGTTATTTTTTAGTGTTCGTAGAAACATAAGTCATTTATTTATTAATAAGTAAACTTTTGCAATTTAATTATTTGGCTAGTTTGCTTCCAAAGTTTCTTTTGATTATGTGATGTTATGCAGTTTGATTCTGTATATTTTGATTTTCCGTTAGCCTTGCTACCCTTTACTTCAGGGCGAGTCATTAGAGTGGACTAATTGTTTGGACTGTAAATTGAAAATTAAGTCACTCTTCAAGTTTATACAAGTGTATTTTTGTTTTACTGTTTAAATCATTAAGTCCAAAGATTATTAAAATTACTCTGATGATTTATTTTGATTTGATTGACGAAGAGCTAAAATGCCTTTCCATGGAACTTAAGTTATCATGAGAGAGCGAATTGGAAGAAAAAGATTGAAAAATTGAAAGAGAGACTAACTGTCTAGACGAACAAATTTTGAACCTTTTTTCTCTCGCAGACAGTTTCCTGGAATCCTTATACCGAGCTGAGAGTAAATCAATATTAAAATATCATTGCAATCAATTTCAATGATTGGGGTTCTCTTCGGGCACGGCCATTTCGATTCATAGATGCCACTGGGATTAGGTTCTTTATGGCGCCTCACTATACAAGCAGGTCCTCTCCATACACTGTATCCTTTTCGCGACTGAATGTGACGTTCGATATTATCCCTGTACAGCGAAAGCATGAAACAATACGGGCATCTGTATTTTCTTTTTGCCTCTTTAGCAGCTTCTTTTCCTGCACCGCAAATCTCGCGTCTTAAAAAGGCTTCAAATTGTGGTCTGCAAATGATACGAGGCCTTGCGAAATTCTGATAGAAAAAATAAAATAAAAATAAATAATACGAACAAATAAAATAAGACTTAAAAACATAAGACTTACATCTGTGACATTAGGTCCATCGAATTTTTCAGGACCGATGTTTGGGTCTTTGATTTCGAATAAATCAACTGCACCTTTAGATTTATCCAATTGAAAGAAATAATCACGTCGTGAAGGCAGCGAACACAATTTTTTAATAGATTGTAATATATCTTCAACTAAATCAGGATATTCCAAGAATGCTTTGTCTTGATAGGAGGCCAGCCTTTTCATTCGGCTCTTAACTGGATGGTTTTCCGTATCTTGGCTTCTAGTTTCGTTATTTTTTTGATTTAAGGTTGAAATTCTACCTCGACTTCTTGTTTTTGTTTTTTCTGGAACTTTTTTTCCATTTTCTTCAGCTAAAGATTCACTTTTTGCTCTAGATATTGCCGCTTTGTACTCTTCTCTACCACTTCCTGTTACTGCTGTTCCTAAAAACACTGGCTCTTTTACCGATTTGGGCCATGTACCATCTCTACACACGACTTCCATTTTTCTTCTTTCAAGGCAACTTGGTTTTTTGAGATTACCAAAAATAACAGCTGAATTCAAGTGTCGTGTTACTGTGTATCTCATACCTGGTTTGCATACAAAACCACATTCGTAAGGGCACCCGTAAACTTTCCTACCCTTCGGAAATAGCTTTTTGTTCATAGTGTGTTTTTCTTTATCATCTTTTGCTCTAAATATTGACGCTCGAGCTGTACTTTCAGATGAAACTTTGTCCTTTTCTCCGCCCCTTCCTGTTACTGTTAATCCTAAAAACACTGGCTCTTTTATCGATTTGGTCCATGTACCATCTCTACACACGACTTCCATTTTTCTTCTTACAGGGCAACCTGGTCTTCTGACCTTATCATTCTTAATATTTGAATTCAAGTGCCGTGTCACTTCGAATCTCCTACCTGGTTTGCATACAAAACCACATTTGTAAGGACAACCGTAAACTTTTTCACCTCTCGGAAATGCCTTTTTATTCGCAGTGATGTGAAGATTCTCTGTGTCAGTGACATAAGGTACCTCTGATTCTTCATGTTCACCGAAACTATCTTGGCCATGGTATTCTAAAGGTGTTTTGGATTGGCTATTGGCTCGAGTATTTACTCGGCTATTCACTGGACGATTCGCAGTATGTTGGCCTTTAGCGTCGTTATTTTGTCGATTCAAGGTTGCAATTCTATCTCGACTTGTTTTTTCTGAAACTTTTTTTTCATTTTCTTCCTCTAAAGAAGCATCATCTTTTGCTCTAGATATTGACGCTGGAACTGTGCTTTCAGATGAAACTTTGTCCTTTTCTCTAACACGTCCTCTTATTGTTGGTCTTTCTTTTGTAGAAGCTTCTTTTTTATTAAATATACTAGTTTTTTTATTTTTAACATTATCATGGTGTCGTGATTGAATGCAAAGGTGGCGTTGAGCAGCTTTACGAGGAGGTAATTGTCTTGTAAGTTGAGCTGATGTTACTTTTGATTTATTGTTGTCATCTGAATCACCTTGTTCCATAGCTTCATCGTTTTCTTGTGCTTTACCTCCAACATCTTGGCACTCGTCTTCTTGCTTCTCTGAAGCATAATTAAAGGCAATTTCTATCTCTTTATTTTTTAAATCTTGTAACTCTTCTTTCAATTTCAGAATTTTAGTTTTTTCTCGAGTGTTACAACTATTTCCTTCCAATACAACAGATAAGATATCAGAACCCTAATTAGACGAATATTTAAGAGAGAGACGGATAATTAGAACAATGTGTAATAGATAAAAATATATCAAAACATAATTACCATTTTTAAATCCAGAAGACCATCTTTAACATCTTGTAAGAGGGATATAAATCTTGTAGACAAAAGTTGCAAGCTTTCATCGTGTTTAACACTTGTTTCATAATTTGACTCAGACATTATTAAAACAAATAAAATGAAAAAGAGAAGAAATAAACTAAATGTATTTCAAATTGAATAAGAATGTTAGAAAATTTGATTAAAAAATCGAATTTTGCAATTTAGAGACTAACCGTTAAGGAGGCGGCGACAAAGGGCAAGGATACATGTGTTAAAATAACAGAACGTGATGTCAACTTGACAGTGTAAAGTTTACAGTTTTTCTGGTCTCTCTTGTCTTACTTTGGTCCAAATCATTCTGAGACTATCGATATATCGATGTTGTGGTTCAATATTCACGTAAAGTAAATTAAAAAAAATTAACTTTCAATTTGAGATCGCAACTTTGCTAAACAGATTATATTTTAAGTTCAAAATAAACGTAAATCAATTAATCATCGACAAAAGATGTTTATGCTTAAATAGAGTTAATTTGCCAATTGAGTCGCTCTTCAAGTCTGTATTTTTGTTTCCCTGTTTAGTTTAATTAGTCTGAAAAGCATTACAATTATCTATTGTTTTGACCTGAATCCACGAAAAGAGTGACAACTTCTTTCCATGCATTTTCAATTTACAATAGGAAAGCTAATTGGAAAAAGAGTGAAAAGTTAGTCAAAATATTATAAAATAATAAAATAAATTTTCGGTAAATAGATACATACGGTTCAAAGAGCATTACAATTACTCATTGTTTTGATCTGAATTCATGAAAAGAGTTTAAATGCCTTTCCATTTATTTTAAGTTACGATGAGAAAGCGAATCGGAAGAAAGTGTGAATAGAAAGATCAACTGTTTAAGCAAACAAATTTTGAATCCTTTTACTCTGGAATCCTTAGAGTCGAGTAGAAGAATAGAAAAAGTAAATAAAGTTTTTTGAGCTTGGGCATTACCGTCTGTGTTATTTTCTGGTCGTTAACAAAGGATATATTCCTATGCTTAAATCAATGCAATCGTTTTGTTGCCAATTTATTCTCTTGGTCTCAATATTTTTTCATGTTGTTTATTTCACAGGTTTCACGTGTCTCATGATGATGAGAAAGAATTGAAAAATTAAGCTGAAGGTGTGACGAAGATTCAGAAGGTTTCAATGGTGATTTTGATGAAAACCTTATCGGTTATGAAGAAGATCAGATGAGACTTGTCAATATGAATGTGAAAGAGAGAGAAATGGAACTGTTTGCTCGATCTGAGAAAAGAGAAGTATTAAAGACCAGATATGAAATTGAACGGAAATTGCGAATGGCTAAGAAAAAAGAAATGATTCAAAGTCAAACAAAGATGAGAAGCAATGAGCAACGCAGAAACCTGGAGGAAAAGAGGAAAGTCAAAAATGCTATCAAATGATTTAAAGGTAAAGCCCATTTTGTATCAATTAGATGTAACTCTGAGCTCATATCAGTGTTCGCAAATTATCGCATACATTAGCACAAATCGTTTCAGTTGAGCGATTAGTCAGGCGATCGTAGACATTTTAAATTGGTTGTAAACGAGAAGGATCAACTGTCTAGACAAACAAATTTTAAACTTTTTCCCTGTGAAACATTATGTGGTTATGTGATGATTATGCCATTCAATTCAATATTTTGATTCTCCTTTAGCATTTCTACCTTCTCTTCAGGGGAAGAGGTTAAAGTGGACTAATTGCTTGTACGGTAAATTTGAAATTAAGTCACTCTTCAAGTTTATACAAGTTTATTTTTGTTTTGCTGTTTATTTCATTTAGTCAAAGAGTATTACAATTACTCTGATGAATAATTTTGATTCGAATTAACAAAAGAGATAAAATGCCTTCCCATTCATTTTAAGTTATCATGAGAAAGCAAATTGGAAGAAAGTGTGAAAGAGAGAGACTAAATGTTTAGACGAACAAATTTTGAACCATTTTTCTCTCGCAAACAGTTTATTGGAATCCTTATATTGAGCTGAGAGTAAATCCATATTAAAATATCATTGCAATCAATTTCAATAATTGGGGCTCTCTTCGGGTCAGGCCATTTCGATTCATAGATTCCACTAGGATTAGGCTCTTTATGACGCCTCGCTAAGCAAGGGGGTCTTATCCATTCACCGTTCCTTTTTCGCGACTGAATGTGATATACGATAACATCCCTGGACAGCGCAAGCATAAAACAATACGGGCATCTGTATTTTCTTTTTGCCTCTTTAGCAGCTTCTTTTCCTGCACCGCAAATCTCGCGTCTTAAAAAGGCTTCAAATTGTGGTCTGCAAATGATACGAGGCCTTGCGAAATTCTGATAGAAAAAATAAAATAAAAATAAATAATACGAACAAATAAAATAAGACTTAAAAACATAAGACTTACATCTGTGACATTAGGTCCATCGAATTTTTCAGGACCGATGTTTGGGTCTGTGATTTCGAATAAATCAACTGCACCTTTAGATTTTTCCAATTGAAAGAAATAATCACGTCGCGAAGGCAGCGAACACAATTTATCAAGAGATTGTAATACGTCTTCAATTATATCAAGATATTCGAAGAATACTTTGTCTTTAATACTGACCCGAATATTCACCTGATTATTATCTGGATGATTTTCAGTATCTTGGCGTCTAGCTTCGTTATTTTGTTGATTTATGGTTTCAATTTTACCTCGACCCCTAGTTTTTGTTTTTTCTTGAACTTCTTTTTCATTTTCTTCATCTGAAGAATGATCATCTTTTGCTCTAAATATTGACGCTGGAGCTGTACTTTCAGTTGAATCTTTGTCCTTTTCTCCGCCCCTTCCTGTTACTGCTAATCCTAAAAACACTGGCTTTTTTATGGATTTTGGCCATATACCATCTCTACACACGACTTCCATTTTTCTTCTTACAGGGCAACTTGGTTTTCTGAGCGTACCAAACATAATATTTGAATTCAAGTGCCGCGTCACTTCGAATCTCCTACCTGGTATGCATACAAAACCACATTCGTAGGGGCACCCGTAAACTTTTTTACCTCTCGGAAATAGCTTTTTACTCGCAGTGATTTTATGATTCTCTGTGCCAGTGACATAAGGTAACTCTGATTCTTCATGTTTACCGAGAGTGTCTTGTCCATGGTATTCTAAAGGTGCTTTGGCTTGAATATTTACTCGACTATTCACTCGATTATTAACTGGATGGTTTTCCGTATCTTGGCTTGTAGCTTCGTTAGTTTGTTGATTTAAGGTTAAAATTCTGCTTCGACTTCGAGTTATTGTTTTTTCTGTAACTTCTTTTTCATTTTCTTCCTCTTCTGATACATCATCTTTTGCTTTCGATACTGACGCTGCAGATATACTTTCAGATGAAACCTTTTCCTTCTCTCCACCACGTCCTCTTACTATTGGTCTTTCTTTTAGAGATGCCTCCGTTTTAAGAGCACTAATTTTCTTAGTTTTAACATTGTCATGATACCACGATCTTGTTTTATTATTGTCATCTAAATCAACTTCTTCCATAGCTTCATCGTTTTCTTGTGCTTTACCTCCAACATCTTGACAATCGTCTTCTTGCTCCTCTAAGGCATAATTCAAATCAATTTCTATTTCTTTATTTTTTGAATCTTGCAATTCTTCCTTCAATTTCAAAATTTCAGTTTTTTCTCGAGTGTTACAACTATTTCCTTCCAATACAACAGATAAGATATCAGCACCCTAATTAGACAAATATTTAAGAGAGAGACGGATAATTAGAACAATATGTGAAAGATAAAATAGATCAAAACTTACCATTTTTAAATCTAGAAGACTATCTTTAGCATCTTGTAAGAGGGATATAAATCTTGTATTCAAAAGTCCCAATCTTTCTTCACGTTGAACACTTGTTTCAGCATTAGACTCAGACATGATTAAAACAAGTAAAATGAAAAGAGAAGAAATAAACTATTATAAATATAAATCAAACTGAATAAGAATGTTGAATAAGAATTTGATAAAAAATCGAAATCTGAGATTTAGAAACTAACCGTTGAGTAGGCGGGGTTTTGTGCTGTTCAGTCCAAAGCAAAGAGTAATATAACTGTTTATAAATATTTTACTCTGTTTATTAATATATTAATAGTTGTAATACTTTTTGGTCCATAGGGTAACATAAAAGAACGAGAAACAACTTGACAATCCAAAGTTTACTGTTTTTCTGGTTTCTCTTGTTATCTTACTCATTGGTCCAAATCGTTTTGAGGCTATCGATACATCGATGTTGTGTTGCAGTACTTTTAATTTGCGAATCGCAACTTTGCTGATTTAAACAATTTAATCAGATTATATTGATTACAATTGATTAAATTTTAAGTTCAAAATAAAAGTAAATCTAATAATCATTGACAAAAGATGTTCAATTTTAACAAAAACCTTAAAATTCAGCTCAAATCTGACCTAATACAGTCTTCAATAAAACAATAATTCAATTTTTGATGGTTTATTTATCAATAAGTAGATTTTTAAAATTCAATCTGCTGATTATTTGTTTGTATAATCTTGTTATGGTTGAGTGATGTTATATAATTATATTGTGTTTTTTCAGAAAGTTATGCACGAAAATGAAATTAGGAAAAGATCGTATTCTTAAAATTGTTTGTCTTAAATGAAATAATCGTAATGAGAACCAATGCTTTTTAGTTAAAAGTCATGCGATCCAAATATTTCTGTTTCATAGAAAGTCGTATGGCTTTGAGGTCGATTTGCGCTTTTAGTTCAACAATATTTATCAATGACCAAGGATGTTTATGCTTAAATAAGGTTAGAATTGAAAATTTAGTTACTCTTCAAGTCTACATTAGTGTTTTTCTGTTTATTTCAAGAGCATTACAATTACTCTGATGAATTGTTTTGGTTTGAATTAACGAAAGAGATAAAATGCCTTCCCATCCATTTTGAGTTATCATGAGAAAGCGAATTGGAAGAAAGTGTGAAAGAGAACGACTAACTATTCAGACAAACAGATTTTGAACCTTTTTGCTTTCGAAAACTGTATCCTGGAATCTGTATATTAAGCTGAGAGTAAATCCATATTGAAATTACATTGCAATCAATTTCAATAATTGGGTTTCTCTTCAGGCACAGCCATTCAGATTCATAGATTCCATCAGATGTCATCGGCAAGAGTCTTCTGGTTTTTTTACTAAAAGACACAATCAACACAACTATCACATTTACTCACGAATTGACACAAATGGGCGAAAACGGGTAAAAATAAATTTGTTTCGATTTCAGACTCTGATGGTTTGTAAGGACATAAGAACTGCGTCCAGTTGTGAGATTTAAAATTTCATATTGAAGTCATATATTCATATAGTATATTCAAGTTGCATATTTTTCGAGGAAACTTCGATTTCGTTTCGCCTTTGTTTCTGTACAATTACGGAAGCAGATTTGATCACAAAACTCATGTTACTGATGTAAATTTTCATGGGAAACTAGAGAATGCAATTATTTTGAGAAATAGAATCTTTATTTTTCTGTTAAACCGATCGCTTTCTGTAAACGTATGAATTAGCGAGTTGAAACTAATTATACGTGTGTAAATATTGTTTGTACTAATCATGGATTGAATACTGCTTTCATTTTATCGATGGCTCTCTTGCTTTTGGTCATTGTTCTAGAAAACGTTTTTGAAAAAGTTCCAGTCTATAAATTATGCCAGATTTCTACATTTTCTGAAGGTCAAAGGAATGCACAAAAACTGGGGAAATCACTGCTGCTAGAGAACTGCTACTGTATTAGTTACATTAATGAAAGAAATAGGATGCGTAATATAATTGAATCTGAAAAGGCCATTATGGAAGCTCGAGAAAAGGAAAAGGAACAAGGAGATGACCCATTTAGACGGAGGAAATGTGCTCCAATGTTAGTTCACAAATTCAAACCCAATACACCAACCAGTTCAACTCCAGGACCTCACGATTCGTCTTCCGCTCTTGACTCACTTATACCTAAACCTGGGATTTCTCCCATGAAAGGCATCAAAACGGAAAAAGATAGTTCATTTCAAAGTTGCTCTTCCAAGCAAAATGAACTTCCAAGTAACGATCTATTTTCTGCCCATAATTTCGACTTTGGTGGGACTATAAGCTTGTTGTCAACTTTAAATTTACCTTCTACTTATGTTAGATATAAAGTGCTACTAGTAAGTGACTGAGAAAACGCAATTACAATGCAACGACCATGAAATAAATCAGATCAAATCACATTTCGTATTTAATGTCATTTACAACTTTTCCCTCATGCAATCATCTCTGGTAGTATAGTGGTTAGTATCCTCGCCTGTCACGTGAGAGACCGGGGTTCGATTCCCCGCCAGAGAGATTTAATTTTGCATTGAATTGTATTTATTTTTGTGGTAATAACCTTTAATTTTTGAAGTCCTTCGATCTGTTATAATTTAGATCTGTTTGTAGTGAAATTTTAAACATTTATTAATAAACGATTTTCATATGTAACGAAAATTTGTTTTGTTTAGAATAACTTTTCACACTTTCTTACAATTAGCTTTCCCATTGTAAATTGAAAATGCATGAGATGAAGTTCATACTCTTTTCGTTGATTCAGGTCAAAACAAAGAGTAATTGTAATACTCTTTAGACTAAATAAAATGGTCAGAAAAAATATAGACTTGAAGATCAACTGCATTTTCAATCGTGACTCTATTTAAACATAATCAGTTGTTATTGAGCTATCGTTAAGTTAAAGGTGAGATTCGATCTCAAAGCCACGCAACTTTCTATGAAACAGAAATTATTTGGTTGCCTGACTAAAAACGATTGGCACTAATTGCGATTATTTAAAGATTAAACGATTTTAAGAATAAGATCTTTTCCAAATTTCCTTTTGGTGCAAAACATTCTGATCAATTTGTTTATAACATCGCATAAACAAAAAATATACAATAAGTGGTCAACTAACTTACACAAGAAACTAACCAAAAAATTAAATTGAAAATTAACTTATTGATCATTAAGCCAGTGAATATTTGATTTATGCTTGGCGAAGATTTTGTGTGCTTGGAGTCATCTGAATTTTTACTGTTTTTTTTTGTTTAAAATAGACATCTTTTTCATCGGTTAACTAAGAAAGCAATTTAGGTTTTGATGAAATCTGTTTCATTTGTTTAAATCAGTTAAGTCACTAATAGAAAGTAAATTTTTTCACTTCAAAAACTTTAGGTTAATATTGCAAAGCAGAACATCGATACATCGATAGTCTCCAAATGATATGACTAAATGGTACATAACCACGCCTCCTCAACCGTTTGTGTTTAATTCACAAAATTCAATTTTTGTTATTATCAAGTTTTACAGCATTCTTATTCAATTTGACTTGTATTTAGTTTATTTCTTATCTTTTTATTGTATTTGCTATAAACATGGCAGAGTTAAATAATTTTGTGAATGAAATCAGTACTCGACATGAAAAAAGCTTGGGACTTTTGACTACAAGATTTGTATCTCTTTTACAAGACGCTAAAGATGGTCTTCTAGATTTAAAAATGGTAATTATGTTTTAGTCTATTTATCTGTTCATATTTTTCTAATTTATCATTCCCTCACTAAATTATTACACTAATTAGGCAGCTGATATCTTAGCTGTCCGTCAGAAACGGCGAATCTATGATATAACCAACGTATTGGAAGGAATTGGATTAATTGAGAAGAAATCCAAAAATTCAATTCAATGGCTCGGTGCTGGACCTGGTTGTAACACTCGAGAAAAAACTGAAGAGCTTTTAAAACTGAAAGAAGAGTTGATAGATCTAGAAAATACAGAAATGGAGATTGACCAGCATTTTTCTTGGGCTAAACAGTCTATTTTAAACATCCTTGATGAAAAAAATAACAAAGTTAATTTATGGGTTGAACATAAAGATTTATGTAACTCCTTTCCTGATGACACACTTCTTTCAATTCGAGGACCTGCCGGTTTACAAGTAGAAGTACATCTTCCCGAATCAAAGTTGGTTGAACCTTCGGCAAAAAAGACCAGACTACATTTAAAATCCAGAAACGGACCGATTGAAGTTTCTTTGGTAAATCTGTATCCGGAAACAAATGAACCAAATGTACAATCAATGTCAGTTGACGACTCTGCCAATTTACTTCTTCCATCTACATCCAAAACCGATGCATCAGAAGATAAATCAAATGAAAAGCCAAATACAGATTTAGATGATCTAGATATCGATTTAGAGGAGCATGAAGATTATTCTGATCAAGAGGAGCAAGAGGACGAGAACGAAGATATTGGAGGTAAAGCAGAGGATAAAGATGAAGCTATGGAAGAAGATGATTCAGATGACAACAATAAATCAAAAGTAACATCAGCTCAACCTACAAGACAATTATCTCCCCGTAAAGCTGCTCAACGCCACCTTTTCATTCAATCACGACACCATGATAATGTTAAAAATAAGAAAAATAGTATTAATAAAACGGAGGCATCTCCAAAAGAACGACCAACAGTAAGAGGCCGTGGTAAAGACAAGGACAAAGTTTCATCTGAAAGTACAGTTCCAGCGTCAATATCTAAAGCAAAAGATGATGTTTCTAAAGAGGAAGAAAATGAAAAAGAAGTTCCAGAAAAAACAAGAACGCGAAGTCGAGGCAGAATTTCAACCTTAAATCAACAAAATAGCGAAGCTAGAAGCCAAGATACTGAAAATCATCCAGTTAATAACCGAGTGAACAGTCGTGTCAATAATCAACCCAAAACTCCTTTAGAATACCATGAAATCATTGCAGATGTATTACAACCTCTTGTAAAATTGAGTCCGCCGCCATCAGGACGTGATTATTGCTTTAACTTGGATAAAAGTGAAGGTTTAGTTGATTTATTCGAAATCAAAGATTAGTTGTTGTAATGATGAAATTTAGAAATATCGTTTATATTAGCCAACTAAAAAAGCCTGATAAACATTCAAGATTACACTTGACACCTTAAATTTAAATACATAAGCATACCTCATGCACATCCATTTATAAATATAACATTTGTATAATCAAGCACCAACAAAGCAAAAAGCTGACATCAATTTGAGCTATCTCTATGTACATGCCTAATATATATTTAAATACAAAGAAAATGTTGAAAACTGATCAATATTATTTCAAATATTTCCTCGGTGGAATAATTTTCGGTGGAATGATTGAAAACTGATATTCTGATTTATTTTTTTAAATCAGCAAAGTTGCGATTCACAAACTGTGAATACATTTTTTACTTTACCTAAATATTGAAATCAACATCGATATATTGGTAGCCTCCATATGATGGCACAAAACCACGCCTACCGGTGGTGTTTAATTCGCAAAATTCAATTTTTGTTGTCACGTTTTCCAACAATCTCATAAAATTTTGCTTTATAATATAAATTTTATATTTAGTTTATCTCTTCTCTACTTTGTCATTCGTTAAAACATATGCGAGTTTAATAATTTTGTTAATGAAATCAGTACTTGGCATAAAAAAGCTTAAGACTTTTGACTATAAAATACGATAAGCGGTCTTCTAGATTTGAAAATGGTAAATATAATTTGGTCTATTTGATTTGTTATATATTGTTCTAATTGATAATTCTCTCATTAAACTATCTAAACGTCTAATTAGGCTGCTGACACCTTAGCTGAAGAAAATCTTGATACTATCAAGATGGGAGATTATGTGATTTTAACGACACTTTTGGGTAAAAAAGTTTTTAGATTGGCTAAAGTGGAGGAAACTGGAGATGTTTATTTCAAAAAAGAACGAATCAATTTGAAAACTCTTATTGGTGCTCAATATAACTCTATTCATCGTCTGGATCGAAGTACCCGAACGTTAAAACATGCTGGTCTAACTCAAGAACAGCTGCGTGAAATTCTTGATGTTAGCTTCACTTTCACTGAGTTAAATGTGGATGATGAATCAAAGGATAATCGTTTAATAAATGATGACGGGCTGGCTCAAAAGCTAGACAGAGATGATATTGAGTCACTGAAAAATCAAGGAATGTCTGGTGATGTTATCATAAAGACTTTAGTTGAGAATAGCAATACTTTTAAAGAAAGAAATGTTTTTTCTCAAGAGAAATATTTGAAGAAAAAACAAGCCAAGTATTCAAATTTAATAAGAGTGCTTAAGCCAAATCCAACTTTACTGACTGAAATGTATTATTCACAAGGGCCGATGAAGATCAACAATTTACGAATAGATTCATTGGCTCAAATGTTGACTGCATGTAATGTTCGTTCTGGAGCTAAATTCATGGTAGTTGATACCAATATGGGATTATTAACAGCTGCAATAATTGACCGACTAGCTGGTCATAGTTCAATGTTCACTTCTTCTGCTTCTAGAGACTATGGTGAATGTATCCAAATTTATTTAGACGATGCTCCTGTTTCGAGTTGGAGACAATCAGTTGATGCATTGAATTTAAGTCCTGCGGTTATTGATAGATGTCTGTCGGCAATAAATATAAAAAAACTTTACAAATGGGAATTCGATAACGATACAAAACCTAAAGATGAGCTAGATACCGAGATTGAAACTAAAGAAGACATAACTCCTATCGAACCAAAGGAAGTGGACGAGAGTTCCAATGTAGATGAACCTGAATATAAAAAGCAGAGACTAGACGAAAAGACAAAGAGAAAAGCAACTCGTATCAAAGAGGAAAACAGAGCAATTGATGCTCTAAAAAACAAAGACATGGATGGATTGTTAATTGTTACTCGTAATCATGACCCAACCAATATATTAACTTTTTTAATACGATTTCTAGGAATTGCCCAACCGTTTGCTGTTTTCAGTCTCTCCATTGACCCTTTGATATCCTGTTATCAAAGTTTAAAAGGTATAGCAATAAATTCTAGAATAACTGAGACTTGGTTTAGAAATTATCAAGTTTTGGATTCACGGACAAGGCCTGAAATGAATATGTCAGGATCTGGAGGTTATCTTTTAACCGGAATCAAAGTTGACTTCCAATGACATCTACGAAAATAGGTGCCACTTTTACTTTTACTGCTGTCAAACCTTTAATAATGTCACTTCGTGAGATTAGCATTTGAGCTATTTTTCTATAATATTTCGGGGAAATAGCTTTTCTACGAATCTTATTTTGTAAAAAAAATAAATTTAATTTTTTGATTTTTGACCCTCAATAGACAATTTGCATACGCAAAGACAAATACTGAATTAAAAACATAATTAAACTCCTCTCAAAACGTATTCATCAAAAAACTGAATTAAACGAAATTGTTTATTTCGTTACCATGACTCTGTGATATTTTGAGAGAGTGACATTAGATGTTTGACAGTACGCTTTTTATCATGTTTATGTTTTATACTCTAAATAAATATGCAATCTCAATAATTCGTTTGAATAATTAATTTAACAAATATTTTATTTGAATTATCAAAACATTGAATTTTCCATGATTTCTAGGGTTGGGTTAATTAATTTGTTTCGGTGCAATTCATTCAAAGTCTATCGTTATTTGTCAACATCTAAAGGAGTTAATAACATGGGTGACTCTCAAGGTGGAAGTGGGGAACCTAAATTCAAGGTTGATAAGGAATCGTTGAAATCTCGGCTAACCGATATCCAGTACAGAGTGACTCAAGAAGCGGCTACTGAAAGGGCATTCACTGGTGAATATTTGAAATTAAAGGACAATGGAATGTATGCCTGCTTAATTTGTGAATCTGAATTATTCTCATCAAATACCAAATACGACTCTGGATGTGGTTGGCCTGCCTTTTTTGATGTCATCGATAAAACTAAAGTAAAGCTGACAGTTGATAAATCCCTTGGTATGGTACGTACCGAGGTAACTTGTGCTAAATGTAATGCCCACCTTGGTCATGTTTTCAACGATGGACCCAAGCCTACTGGAGTCCGTTATTGTATCAACTCTGCTTCATTGAAATTCAAGAAAAATACATAAAATATGAAACATTAACAGATTTGACTTTTGCTCATCAATTTTATTTATTCGTAATCATTTTACTGTAACATCCTGATCAGTCGTTGTAGTTTAATTTTTAAATTAGTGAACATAAAATTGATTCATCCTTATCGTCATGAATTAGGGAAGGCAAAGGTGAATTTTGAAAATGATGACAAGAAAAGTGTGAAAGACAAAAGGGAAAGAAAAAGATATTTTGAGAAAATTTTTAGACTCCGAAGTCAGTCGATTGAGCCGCTGAGTCAGTTGATTAAGATTCGACTGAGCGCCAGTCGATTGAGGTATCAACTGAGTCGACTTAGTCGACTCTAATTTGAGACGACTAAGTCGACTGATTTGACTCAAAATTTGAGTTTAAGCGCCAAACACGTCATTTTTTCAACAATTTTTTTTAAATATGTTTATACATGGCAACTTTGATTATGTAACGTAGATTTTTGATTATTTTGATATTAAATAAAAAAGCTAATATATTAACTCAAAAGACCATTTTAAGGCAGAAGATGTACTTTCTTGTTTGTTTTTAGATCGTCTCTTAAAACCCCCTCTTACCCCCTCAAAAATTGTGCTTTGAGTCGAAATGAGTCGACGCCAGTCGTTTTGAGTGAAAGTCGACTGATTCGACTTGAGTCGACCGCCAGTCGAAAAAAACCCCAGTCAGTCAGTCGTAGAGAAAACGACTGACTTCGGAGTCTAAAAATTTTGTCCTCTCTTTGAGAGGAAAAATCACAAAATCATGAGAATAATTATTTGATTCTTCTTCTGATTATGTTCTGATTCTGTTAGAAAAAAAGTAGTATAATAAGTCTCACGATTAGAATCAACTTGGCTGTTACATTAGTAATGGTTAACAGCATATCATTAGGTTAATCAGTGGATTAATTTAAAAATTGAGTTTACGCAGTTTCGAGGCAATCAAAAAAAAATAATAGCAACTGCATTCAAGAGTCTCTTTTGTTTTTGTGTATTCATTATTACACTAAATTGTTTCTACTCTTTAAGAGAAACATTTCATGTTAAGAATGGTCAAGATGATGATTAGGATGATAAAATGAAGAGTGTAAATTAGTATAAATTTGGTGGTAAACTTGAGTGGTAAATTTCAACGTAAAAACTTGCATCAGTTTGTTTGCAGTCTGTAGTTGTTTTCACCAATTTAATTGTTTGAGGAGCTGTTGATGATTAACTTTAATTATCAAACGTCCATCAAGTTAACTGTGGGTCTGTTGATCAACATGGGAATAGGAAAAGTGATAATGATCATCAGGTTAATGATGAGGTTGAGATGATTAAGATGATTATGTGAAAGAAAAGAAACAGCTCAATTGTATGTAAAAGCAATTAATTAACTGCAAAACAATTATGGTCAGGATAAATTTCCAGACCAGGAATTTATCTCAATTGTTGATTTGACAAAATATAGTAACAACAACAATAGCAAAATGACTTTAAACATTTGCTGTTAAATTATAATTTAACTCACTTTAGCTTTTGGTTTGTTTCGGGTTTTTGATTTTTTTAGATTAACAATTGAAATGTATAAATTGTCTTTTTCCTTATTAGCAATAGAAATAGTTATTCATGGTAATGATTCAATCAAGTTAAAAGAGTAAACAATTAAGAAATATATTAGATGAACTTTTAAAATGGTAATAATAATAACAGAAATTGGTGATTTGATCAAAAATTAAATTTCTGTTATAACAATTTGCTCAGTTGACACACAATAAACAGACATAAATTTATTTATATATTTATAAATGTATATATATATTAGTAATTAAAGAATGTCTTAATTGTTTATTGTTTTAACTTAAAATTTGAATCATTGGCAATAGATAAATCTGTCTTTTAAATTTCAAATAATGTATTTATAATATATATATATTAATATATCCTCTGTGTTTCTTGTCAATATAATTTGGGTCGTTTCGTTTATCATGAAATAATTTTCTCCATTTCTTGATAATTCCAATGATGTTGTGTTAGTTAATTTTGTTGGGTTTTGTTGTTGCTTGGTTTAAGGACTTTCTTGCTTCATAGGAAAGGTGAATTGGCGTTTAAAATTTCACTTAAAAAATTTGAATCTGGACTTATAACAGATCCAGCCAGATCTCTGGTTGATAATAGATTACTGTGATTGTTACTATTACTGGCTTGGTTATTGATTAACGATGAATTAACAAAATGCTCGTTGATTAGAAGTTTCTTGTAAGGCTTATTAAACATAACAGATTTGTTGCTTTTAGATGATCGGCTACCATGAAATCGCATTGAAACACCTTGATCATCATCATCACCTGAAACGAAACGTTTTCTGTATCCATCTCTATTTGACTCTCGACTTTCTTGATCAAGATTTTCATCGCCATTAATCATGCCTTCTTGACTACCAATATCACTTTCACTCTCCTCCTTGTCTCCTCCACCATCGCCACCACCACCTCCACCTTTTGAGTGCCCTCTTCTATCCTTTCGGTTTCGTCGGTTGTTGGTATTATTGACATTAACTAAGCTTGATATTGGAGTTGATGAATGCACGGTTTCCTCTCCTTGGCCTGGAAAATGTAAAAGAAAATTTTTAGTCTATTTTGATTAATCGTACAATAAAATGGCTTCTTTGGTCAAACCAAGAATTTTCATTTAAAGAACCTTTCATCAGATATTGGGCTATTAATTCTTATCTACCCAATGAAGTTAATGGGAATAGATTAAGGTTCCTTTAAAACATTTCAAGATATTTTGATGACGATGATCTTTTAAAAAGTGACATGTTATTCATTCATTAACTCATTGATTACCTTTACTAGCATGGCTTGAACCATGACAATAATCTTCATCAACAATATCTTCATCTCCTTCTGATGTGGTGCTCACAGGTCGCTTATTATTGTGCTTTGAATCACCTCCAATTGGATTGCCTTCATTTTCTTGCGTCGTACTCGTGGCTGTTATTGCTGTTGATGTAACCAGTGTTGCTCCACCTCCGTTTTCATCGCCAACGCCTTTGTTGTTGGATAAACTTTGATTGGACTTGGACATTATCTCTGCCAGACGACAACGAACAGGTCCACAGTTTTCCTTGACAACAACTACATTAGCCTTTTCATCAATTGTTGGCAAACAGTAGCTACATTTACCACATCGAGCTGCAGGTGGTGGCGGTGATGAAGGTGATCCCATGACCATGAAGTTACCATCTACATCAGCATCTCCACTCATGTCTTTAATGAAATGACTAACACTTCCAAATGATCCACCAAGAACCAAATCAGGAGAGTTAAGACTATAATCAACATGATAAAGGTCATTGAGATCATCGTCATTTCCTCGATGGATTAAATTATTCTGAGATGTTTGGGTTGTCAGTGGGCTGGTTAGTTCATAATCGTCTTTCCTCCGATGACTCCAAGGATAACGAGGGCCTAATGGTGTTAATCCTAAATGTTTATCAGAAGCGAATGTGGATGAAGATGAGCGAGGAGTGCAAGATTGATTACCAATGACACCAGATGAAAAGAGATCAGACCGGCGTCCAGAAGTGGTTAAACATAAAGGTTCAGTCAAAAGATGACCAGTCGATGGGTGGCCAAAAGATAATGATTCCCGGGATCGATTATCAGTATGATGAGAAGAAGAAGACAAAGAATGATATTGCGATTGATGGTGCTTCTCTTTATTTCGACTATGGTTTCCGCTCTGACTGGTTGAAAGTGGAATGCTTTCACCTGTAGTCGGTGTATTTTTAGTATTCATGTGATTAATTGAAGTAGAAGATGAGGATGACGGTGATGAAGATGAGGTTGATGATGAGGATAGTGAAGTTGCAAGTTCATTTTTGGGTTTCCTTTTACGCTGAGGAAAAGGTAGCGGTGGTGGCGATATTGTAGTATCACAGCCATTTGTTTCAATTCGATCACAAGGAGCGGATTGTAAGGATTTTCCGGTTTCACCATCACCTTCACCAACACCCGACTTTCCAGTTAACCGAGCTTCACCTCCTTCCTCACTATTAACTGTATTACCCTCAGATCCTTCATCAACACTTCCTCCACCTGGAATTGCATCATTTGACGTCGGTGAATCAGCTGAATCCAAAAATTTGGGAGCATAATATTTATCAATTGCAATCCTAGTCTCTGAATCAAGAATAAACTTTTCCAAACAGATCTTTAACCAGCAAGCTTTACATCGATTAACAGAAACTCCTCTGGGTTCTTGCTCTCCTGATGGTTTACCTATTGTACAATGACCTAAATTGTGCGGAAAACAAGTAAAACAGAAAATTAATGATTAATTTCAATTTTAAAAAGTCATTTGATGATGATGAGGGAAATGTTCAAAACTAATGAGAGGACAAGTGAAACAACTTGATGAGCAATAAGATGGTAACCATTGAATTTGGGTGAAAATGAATTAGCCTAACTATTAAAGTAAATTTGAGTCATCATTATTTGTTGCGACTTTAAAATGGTTTTAACTTGATAGATATAATGAATTTTATTGTCAATCTACATTTTTATTTCAACCATTTGCAATTAAGTTGGAAATGTTTCAAATTAATGATAGAGATTAAAGCAGATTAGTTTCAAATATTGGAACCATTGAATTAGTTGGATAAATTGAGCAGCCAAAACCTCAGGTAAAGTCTAATTATAATCAAGATAAATGATGAATAAATGGATAATAAGGAAATGAAAGGATAACTCGAGAAAAATGGATCCTAAGAGACACAAGTGACCTTAAAAAAAGTGCATCGAAAAAGTAAAACTGGGAAAATGTCGAAAGTCAATGGAAGTGAAAATGAAAACAAAACATGATCAGAAAGACATTGAATTGTAAAGAGTAATTAAATGAGCCATAAATTTAATTAGATCAAATTTTAGTGGTAAACATATTTATGGGTTGATAATGACCAGGTGAACAGGTAATGGTGTTTTAAAGGTGTACAACACAACTGAAGGTAATCAAGTGTGAAAAAAAGTGTTTATCTGAAACAAGTTTCAATCAAATTCAAATGAATCTAGATAATGAAAAGATAAATAATTTCAAACCAACAATCAAGCTAGGAATGGATTAAATGTTTTCAATTCAGGCCGAGATTGTCATTAATGGATGAAAAAAAGGTTGATTAAGAGCAAGAATAAAAAGAAATAGATTTTAATTTTTACACTTTAACAGTGAAAATAGATTTTGGTTGAGATTTTCCCTGAAAGTCGAGAAATTGTGAGAAGATGAATTGGGAATTGGGGTGAGAAGGGATTAGATAGATAATATAAAGTAAATAATGGCAGTAATGATAGAGTTAAGGAGTAGAAAAGTGATGATTACCTGAGCAAATGACGAGCATAATGATAATAATTAGGATGGTTAATCAAGACTGGAAGGTAAAGCAGTAAAGAAGTGAAGATATTTCTCGAGATTATTTAACTAATCATGTTAAGATGAATGTGCGTTTGCATATTTGCTTTATGCTCAACCTGTCACTAACAAGGCCTTGCTTTTCAATATCAATCAACTATACAGCCACACCTCAGGTGAGCGAGACAACACTTTTGTTATTTATTGATTAACAACAATTAGCAAACATGATAAGCTAGATAGAAATGAAATGGTAAAATTGAATCATTAAAGTAACCAGAAACATCGTTCTCATCATTACACTTTTTGGTTGTGAATAAAAGTGATTCCTTGATAAATGACAATATAAATGCACAAACGATCGATCATGAAAATCAATTCTAATTGTGATTGTTCTGACAAAAATGAAATTAAAATGAGTTTGTACTTTTTATTTTTTTGGCATTAACTTAGTCAGGCTTAACAGGTGGGAATCGGTAAACTGTTAACTTTAAGATGAGAGGAAATTTCATCTTGAATCATGATTATGATTTGAAAATAACATTCGATTAAGAATCATTTCATTTTTTTTTTCGTTCCAAGTAATGATTATCGGATAAATCAATGAGATATTTATAAAGTGCAATAATTTTCTGAGAAATTTTGAATAAAACTGGTTTTGAGTTGGAAAATTTCAATGTTAATCAATTCTATTTTGGGTTGAAACTCCGTTAATTGGTTTTGATATCTTAATTGTTGTAATAACGGTTAATTTTGACATTAAAATGAAAGTGGAAGGAAAGAGAAACCTTAAGGTCGCCATCAACAGAACGGTTTGCAAATGTTTAAGAAAATGTTGATTCTTGAGATGAACGAAATTGCGTGAGATTGGCGAGATTGATTCAGTCGATGGGAGATTGAGGCCAAATCACTAACAAAATTAAGAGAGGTTAAAGTGCTTCTAATCAACAATTAGTCTGGGTGATTGTAACAGTAAAAACAATGGACCAACAAAAGAGAGTCAAACAAATAGACAACAAAAATGGCTTTTGCACAGGGAATGAAAAATTTGGAAGAAAACAATTGTCAGATTATCTGATGAGAGTTAACAATAGTTGAATGGAATCAATGAAAACTTGAATAATTTAAACGGCAATGGAATGGAAAATAAGAAGCAAGAATTAAAGTTACAGCAATTTAAAAATTTGCAAATAGTGGAACAATATAAAAAAGCAAAGTTAATTGCCCAACTAAAGGTACAAAATAGGAGCAAGATAATGTTCAATATTACTGTTTATCACAGTGTTAATCATAATCATGAAAATGATGATAATGATGAAGGGATGAAAATTGAACAAGGTTAAAAGTAAATTTAGTTTCAGGCCTTAGATGTTAACGGCGCAAAAATGATTGAAAGAAAACAAAAAAAGGCAAATTTTAAATGGCTTAAGGTTTAAGGAAAAAAAGGAATGAAAAAGAATCAGCTGAGAGTTTTTAATGTTCAACTGTTAGTGGCTTTTGAAATATTAATCAGCATCATGTGTCAGTTTTGTTATTATTACAGAAACCAGTATAATTATTATCATGATAACTGTTACAGCAATAAAAGAGATTGAGAAAACAGGAGAAGAAGAAAAAAAGAGTTACATCTCACAGAATGTGAAAACATGTTGAAATGAAGAATGTGATCGATGTATTAAGGTAAGCCCTAAGAGGATGTTATGATATATCATGTATATTTATATGTACACATATTTAATGTAGATATAAATATACGAACTCTTGATGAACAAGAAGAAGAAGAAATGAAGATGATTTGTAAAGTAACGTATACATGATACTTATTGCGTGCTCAGTTCAACTGTAATCCTTTGCTTGCGGCGTCAAGTTTGATTAATAATAAAAAAAAGATGAAATAAAATCATCCAGAACGAGTTTGTACGGATTGAACGAGGTTGGGATTGAAGGAGAGGCAAGAACGCTTTATGTATGTAAAAGTTAATGAAAATTTGATTATATTAGAGAGATAATGAGACAGATAGTGATAGAGACTATTGCTTGAAGGCAGTAGACGATGTAGAAGAGATGGAGATAAAGAAGGAAAAAGGATCAAGAGAAGTGAATAGAGTTGATTGGAATGAACAAATTTTGCTCAATTGAAATGATATTTTACTGTTAATCTTGATATCCACAGACGCAGTTAATGGTAATTTAGCTAATTTACGATTGTTAAGAAAAATTGACGAAAATTTAGGACAACGTGATAGACTCATGATGTGCATATTGATTCATTGTGCGACACTTTTTTTTGCTATTTTAATGATAGTTGGATGATGAAGAGAGTCGCTTTAACATGCATTTCAGCAAGGCTTGGATTATTTTTTTTGTTGATAAATGGTTGAACTTAGGCTGATAGAGGTTAGATAATTTTAATAAGAAAATTAGAACACAGAATAATCCTGAAATTTGATTCTATTAACCAGGGTAATGGGAAATAGAATAACATGATTGGAATGATAAAGGGGAGAAGAAATGAGATGAGTAAAAGCCTGCAAGACATTGAACACTTTTCGAGAATCGAGATGATAAAGTGGTGAGAAATTTGAGAGATTGGCAGGAATTTATGGCGAAATGGAAGAAAATAGGAAGCCAGAATAGAATGTTGAAAGATAATAAATTTGTAACTGAAATATTCCGAGTTGAATGGTTTGAAATGGTAATGAAAAGAGACTAGAAGATGGAAAAGAGGAAAATGTTGAAATGTTGATGGACAAAGTTTACTTTGATTTTCAAGGGTAAAGTGACGAGTAAAGGATTGACAGGAAAAAAGGTTGACTAACGAGTGTTTCGCAAAAGCTTGGGTTGAATGTAATTAAATGATACATTGAGGATGAGTGATTGAATAAGCTAATGAAGATGAGGATAAAAAAAGATGTTAAATTGAAAAGAAAAGGTTTGCATAAGTTGAAATGAATTGAATAGCGTTTTTTGGTAGTTAACGTTAATTATGGTAGATGAAGACGAGAAAAAGGTTTGTAAAAATCGAGTGAGAGTGAGCAAAGTGATAAGCCAAAAGATGAAGGTGAAGACAAGAAGGAGCAGTGAGACGGAAAAAAGGATAAAAAACGAAGCAGACTTGATGAAAGAAAAAAAGTGAATGAGAAACACAAAAAAATAAAGAACGAATTTTGAAGAGAAAAGGTTACGAAAAGATGCGTCTGGAGGTGAGGATATAAACATGATTCTGAGCCGGCAAGTGAGACAGACTGGAGAGAGAAAGGATTGAGTGAGTTGAAATGATTGGATTGATGTTGCCTCTTTAGTTGTACATCAATATCATGTTCATTATTACCATCTAAAGGGAAAAAGATGTTCATAAACAGCAACAAAAGGTACTCTTTGTTTCAACAAAATGTCTACCTTGACTGGAAAGAAAGAGTTGAAGAGAGGTGAGTTGCATGATGAGTCGATGAAAAGAGGGAGAGGAAAAGATAAAATTAAATGCAAGGTGTTTGGGTAAGAAATATTGATGCCAACCTTTGTGTGAGCAAGTGAAAATTTTTGGATCTCGAAGGAAGCGCTTCATAAACTTAGAGCAAGGCTCACAAGAGTATTGGCCAAAACGCCTTTGAACGTGTGAATAGTATTTAGTTGCGTTGCATATTGAACAAGTAATAAAACCTGGTCTTCTGCAGCTCATTCCTAATAATTAAGACCATTGGAAAGGTGATGATGATGATGATTAGTTGATAAACATTGGTGTTGAAGTTGTGTTGGTAGTAAACCCATTATGACCACAAATGAATAAAATTAAAATTTAATTATCATCGAGAGGGTAAAAGTGATTAGCCAAGTTTTGTTTCAAATGAGATTCACATGTAAGAACATTAACACCAAATGAGAAAATTTTGTGACATTCAACAGTTAATTGGTTAATTAATGAGATTTTAAAGTTGAACCCGAATTGGATAACAGCAAGTTAAGGGATAAATTATGAAACAAGATATTGATAACACAGTGCGATGTGAAGATCCATTAAAGCCAGAGTTTCCAATTAAACATTGATTATTTAGCATGAGAATCAAATTTGAGCACAATTTTCAAGTTGATGGTTTTGCCGATAATTTTGACGATGATCCAAATTATTGAAGAAAATTTGAAAAGAGAAAAGAGAAGAAAAAAATAAACAAAAACAAGAGAAATGTTGATTAGTACATTGCGTTTCAAGAGATGCCAAATGTTTGCTGATTAAAGTCACATTGGTGTTGATTGGTTTAATTATCTGACTGAAATGACTGTAATGACTGTAAAAACATAACAAATTTCAAAAAATGAACAAATGATTATTAAAAAATCAAATCTTTTCGCTTCATTTTGAAAGAAGGTTTTCATCAATTTCATTGTTTATAATTGTAGTTTTGATAAGTTGAAAGTTGATCAGGTGAGATGAAGGTGAAAATAAAGAGAGAAAATAAAGAGTAAATAATCGCGACAAAAGGACATTGAGTCATTATTAACAATTAATATCTTATTTTTTTAGTTGAGATGATTATTACATATTAATTATCAATTATGATTATCGGAAATTAAAATGAGTAAAAGTCATGGATTGAGCTTATTTTAAAGAAAAGAAAAAAAATGTTGACAGCATTTACGTTTAAAACCCATAAAGTAATCTAAACCCTTTTGTCTCTACGAAATTTGGTCAAGGTGTTTGGAGTAAATAGCCTTTGACACAAGATGAGGAGGAGAAAGTAGAAGGTGAAAAAGGTTAATTAATTAGAGCAAAAAGAAGGACAAAATTGGGAAAATTGAATCGCGTATTCAGAAGTCAACTGGTATTGGTAACCATTTCTCATTATCACCTACAGTGGCAAAAAAAAGGGTTGACCTGGTTTCCTTTTTAATATAAAAAAAGAGAAACAACCTGAGTTTTATAAAGTACCAGTTTTCAAGTTACTATGCAGCGTGAACCGTAGTTGGTTTAATTGTTGGATGAACACATATTCTAGATAGAGAAGTGCCTTGGAAACAAGAGGATGAAAGGATAATTGAAATGAGAAAGGAAAGAGAAGTGAAGGGAACGAAGAAGAAATGGTAAAAACAAAGAAAATCTATGGAAGAAGTCAATCAATTTCAATTGGTTCACCACCTTTTGTTTGTCCACTTGTTGATGACCCTAAGCCAGTTGATTTATTACCAATGGTAAACTCTTGTTTCTGTTGATTTTGTTGATATTGAACCAGCTTTTGTTGCTGTAACTGATGGTGGTTGTTTTGATTTTGGTGCTGTTGTTGGTGATAGAGATGGTTAAAGTTTAGTTGATTTTGATGATGGAAATGTTGTTGTGGTTGTTGGGCTTGTTGGTTTTTAACTAGGGAAAGAGGTTTACAATTACTGGTTGATGAACTGGCTGCACTTGGCATAGCCCTTAATGTAAAAGGAAAGTGATTGTGGCTTGACTGAAGGTTGAAACTATTTAGACGATTGTGGTTGGTTAATTGGTTGAAGGCACTTGTATCCCTTGTGATAATTTTTTGATGAAAATGATGATCAGACTTTTTCTTGTCCTCATTCAAAGAATTATCACTATTTGGTAAGCTTGATATTTTCCTCTTCTTCAATGGTATTGAACAGGGAATGAAAGACAGGTCCAAAGCTTCAGAGCCACAATCATCAACTGAACTCTCTTTGGTACCATGGATATTGTTTTGTTTAAAGGTTTTACTGGACGGTTTAGGGTCATCATCGTCAACAGTCATTGAAATGTTACTTGCTTCATCTTCGTCTTCTGTCTCAAATAGACTCTCCTCAACAACGATCCGACTCTCTATGTCAATTGCTGCAACAGAATTGTTTAATTGGTCCGTAACTTTTCCCCTGTCATCCTCGGTTTCTTCCTCAATAACCACTTTTCCTTTAAAGAGTCCTTTAGACATTGGATTTACAGCGATAATCAAGTTTGTGTTCCTCTAAAATCTTGTCAACAGGAAAGTGATGACCAGTGAAAATAATGTATCTTATACAAAAGTTGATCTCTAGTTTTGAACTAGGTTTTGGCGAATTGATCGGCTGGATATTAACTTGAGTCTCTTTGAGAGATTTGGATAGTTTAATGGTTTGATTTCAAGCTCCGTTTTAAATCCGATGACTGATTAGCATCTGGATTGTATTCCGATATATAGACAGATAAAGCAACGAAGGAGACAGATATATTCAACAGGGAGAAAGGTAGAGAGAGAGAGAGAGAGAGAGAGAGAAATATTTATATATAAAGATGGAGATGGAAGAGATCACAGGTTCACGGCTCAGTTATTTGCTTAAATAATGAAAGCAAAAGATGGAAAGGCAGAAATAGGAAGGGAAATGAGAAGAAAAAATACAATTAGAAATGGATGAAAATTATAATGATGAAAGTGATAGGCTGCTATTGAATGGACAGTTATTTGGGTCAATATGCCAATGATAGGTAAATGATACGATATTTGAGGAAGAGAAGGGAATGTTAGTTACAAAATGTGAAAAGCAAGGTTAAGCAAAACATTGATTAAAGCTAAGAATAAGAATGTGAGGGAAAAAAACAAAAGGCTTAAGGTATTGAGGGAAATGGTGGAAGGGAATAGGAAGAAAGTTAAGAAGTGTTCTTGTGAGAAGCCAGAGGAAAACAGGATTGAATATTAGGTGAAAGAGAAACAGTGAGATTGAAAAAAGATCGAAATGAAGGAGTAAATTACAGTGATAGAACAGAGAGAAAAATATCAGACGAGAATCACAAGAAGTAGATAGACAGACCAGCGATAGATATAAAAATAGACAGATGGCGGAAGAAGCTCGGAAAGAGAAGCTAAACTAGAAAGAAAAGTAGAAGAGAAAGGGTTTCTCTGTATGGTTGGGCTATGTTGATGTTGATTAGGGCCGGTGATAGTAATATTGTTATTTTATAAATTAAATTTAAAGTTGATTGCTAGCACCCTCCTTATTCTGTATCCTCAATATATCCAGAACGAAATTGAATGAAAATATTTCTCATCACCGGGTCTAATCAACATGATGTAAAGAGAGAAAGAGAGAACAGATTTGAACTAGGAATGAATAATTAAGCAAGACTATAATTGGCAAGGAGGAAAAAGAGGAGAGGAAAAGGTAAGGAAGGAAGAGAGGGGAAAACGCATGTACCTCTCTTACCTATTTAGTTATGTATGCATATAATACACAAAAAATCACTTAGACTTAATCACAGCTACGGTTGTAAATTAAAACCATTCCATCGTTTCACTGATTTGAATGGTTTCTTGGCCACTTGATATTTGGCTTGCCAGGGCTTGCCTTCAATTTTATGCCAAATTAGGGGCTCTCCTTTTTGTCTTCCCATCAACACTTTGGCGTGTTAGTATCAACAGTGTGAATATCAAAATGTTTTGTTTTCCTTTTGATAACAAATGTTTGTTTGATATTTTTGTGTATGTGTTTGTGTGTATTCAAATGAAAGCGTAAATGATGAGAGATGTAGAGGAAAGACGAGTGAGAAGAGCACAAACACCAACAGAAGTAAAGGTGGAAGTCACAATTAAAATGGTAAAAAATGATTGAAAGGATTTTTATGACCATTTATTATCATGGTTATCACCAGGTATTGGATTTTGATTTCCAAGAGGTAAGTAGACCAGGTAAAACAGGCACAGAGACGGTGAAGGGGTAGTAAAAAAGAGACAAAGTGATAGACGGATAAAGACAGACAGATAGAAAGTGAATGATAGAAAGAGAAAGACAGAAAAAAGAGTAAATACAAGACTAAAATAAGGAGAAAGGTAGAGATTGAGAGAAAGGCAAAAAAGAAAGGCCGTTGGAAGAAAAGCAGATAAATTACAGCGATACAGTTAAAGGAAGGTTGGACTACATTATCACAATTTACATAGAGATCATCAAGGTAATGGACAAGTGAGATGGTAACAGAGAATAAAAAAGTACTTTTTATTTCCCTGTGTGAAGAACACAAAATGAGAATGAGATTTTAATCCCAAGAACAGTGTCAACCAAAGAGTGGAGAAATAAGATGAATATTTTGCATGTAAAGAAGAGTCCACTAATTTAACACAGAAAAATGTAAACGATGTTCAACCATTAGTTGATATGGTGAGACAGCAACAACAATTAGACAAAATGTTGAGAGTGGCGAAGAGAGTAAAAGGAGATTGAGAAGAGTCTGAGAAGAACGAAGAATAAGAAACGAAAGAAACAGAATTGTAAACGTCAAACTGGGTTAAGAGAGAGAGAAAAAAGAGAGAGAAATGAAAGACTGAATGATGATAGGGAGATAGAATGAAAAATGGGGGTAAAATTGTTTGACTTATACCAGCATCTCCTCCTTCTTTCAACTAACAAAACTGAAACCTTCCATGTTATGTTATGTTGGCAAAAAAAAGTTATAACAGTCTTCAATTGAACATAACAATAATATATTGGTGAATTAAGAATACAAGGTGAAAATTATTATGTAGGCAATTGGTATGGTTGGGATATTGGGATTAATGATTGGGAAAAGCTTTGGACTTACCTCTGATTTGAAGTGAGGGTGGCTAGAAAAAGGAAAACAATAGTAATAAAAATAAGAAACAAAACAAGAAGTAATCATCAAGAGAAAACCTTGAGAATTGAAGACATATGTTATCCGTGGATCCACTTTCCTACCGGTGACCGGTAGATCGGTTAATTAACTAGTTAAATAATGTGTCTGGGTCCAGTTAATCACAAATTATACCCAATTAATTAACTAAAAACAGAACTCAGCTCGTTTAAATTACTAAAGAGTGTTTGACTGATGAGATTAATTTATAACTGGTGATGTAACAGATCATATGATTGCTAACCATGGTAACGGTATCCAAACATTGCCACTTATTTTAGTTTGGGTTTTTAGGTGAAAATAAATATTTTCATGATTACAACTCTAAATACTAATCGTCCACTCGCGACATATCTATTTAAGTAATTGTCACAAAGTGATCTGTGGCAAATTTCAAGCGATTGTTTCCAACAACTGTTTTGAAATGTCAAACTCACAAGTTTGAATATCGGCGACACTCGATACACCAGAAAAAATGAGCTTTGTTAGTTAGGTTATTTTGGTTAGCTTCAATATGTACCCTTACCAATGTCAATTAATAGTTGGAATTTATTGAAAGAGATTTATTTGTATTTTAACGGATTGTTGAGATTTAATCTTAATATTAGAGATAATAAACAATAAACAAGGATTTTTGCAATGACAAAATGTCTTGGCATTAAAGGGATAAAAGTTGTGAAGGAATAGAAAAATTGCAAATAAATTAACACCGATTTTTTTAAATTCATTAGGGTTCAACTTCCATTTGAGATTCTGAAATATTCATTTCAAAATATTCCCGTGGATCCAACATTTGATAATTTACCAGGATGATTCAAACTGATGCTCAGAAGTAAAAATTAAATCAAAACCACTGATCAGGATGTTACAATTGTGAATTAATGGAATAGGAGAGCAAAAGTTAAACTGTATTATAATGTTTCATAATTTTATGTCTTTTTCTTGAATTTCAATGAAGCAGAGTTGATACAATAACGGACTCCAGTAGGCTTTGGTCCATCATCAAAAACATGACCAAGGTGGGCATTACATTTAGCACAAGTTACCTCGGTACGTACCATACCAAGGGATTTATCAACTGTCAGCTTTACTTTAGTTTTATCGATGACATCAAAGAAGGCAGGCCAACCACATCCAGAGTCGTATTTGGTATTTGATGAGAATAATTCAGATTCACAAATTAAGCAGGCGTACATTCCATTGTCCTTTAATTTCAAATATTCACCAGTGAATGGCATTTCGGTATCCGCTTCTTGAGTCACCCTGTACTGGATATCGGTTAGCCGAGATTTCAACGATTCCTTATCAACCTTAAATTCAGGTTCACCGCTAGCACCTTGAGAGTCACCCATATTGTTAATTCCTTTAGATGTTGACAAATAACGATAGACTTTGAATGAATTGCACCGAAACAAATTAATTAACCCAGCCCTAGAAATCATGGGAATTCAACAAAATTGAAAACTCACATCAAAATAATTGATTCAAGATGGAGCCACAAGGACTCAGCCACAAAAATTCAAGAGGTACAATTAAAATTTTTGTATAAACATGAAATCTATCGTTTTCCACGAATTCTTTTCCAACAACGAACGAACTTCCAAAAATAAATTCTGATGAATAATAAATAACTTCAAATCCTAGTTCTCTTCCTCTATGACCTGGATTTTGTTACAAAAAGCTCAAAACTTGACTACATAATTATTGCGAACCCTTTAATGTACGTCGTAAATTTATCATTTTAGTTTATTCTTCGAATTTTGAATCGATGCCGATCCATGAGGGAACTTTGATTTTGATTTGAATAATATCTCTATCACAGAGAGTTTTAAATCACTTATGGATCATCAAATGGTCCACCTGATTCGAATATAAATTATTTAGTTAAATATGATTTGATGGTTTTAGAAATTTTTAATGGTTTGAATGTTTCATGAGGCAATCACAATCAAAAAATATTTACAAACACGAAAATCGTTTCTTCTAAACACAATCAAGTAAAATCACGTTTCACGATTAGTCGATTCAACCTTTTTCCGCTCGGAGTCTATGTTCTCCGTAAAATTAAGATGATCCTAAGTTGATGTGAGTCTTTTAGTGAATCAATGGAAATTGAATGGTCTATGATTGAGTGAACAATTGGCTTTAATAACTTCATTTAGTTTGTGGTATTGCATTTACCTCTTATGATGTGAACATGGATAATGCAATTTTGTTCTAATTGATATTCTTTTGTTTGTAGATCTTTAAGAAATTGAATCACTCAGTTGTTTTTTTTGTTAATTTTCACTATTAGATTTTTTTGAGTTAATGAGATAGAAAAAGAAGAGAATAATTTGTTAAGTAAACATTTAAATAAGACCCTTCTTCTTTTTATATTCTTCTAAATTCAAGGAGCGACGATTTGGTGTTGATGGTTTTGATGATGCAGAAGTCAAGGAATGAGATGGGTGAAGAGAAGAGTAATTGGAACTAGAGGATGGATTTGAAGTTGACGACATGTTTATGGTTCCACCAATGTCAAAATCAATTTGTATGTCGAAATTATGGGCAGAAAATAGATCGTTACTTGGAAGTTCATTTTGCTTGGGAGAGCAACTTTGAAATGAACTATCTTTTTCCGTTTTGATGCCTTTCATAGGAGAAATCCCAGGTTTAGGTATAAGTGAGTCAAGAGCGGAAGACGAATCGTGAGGTCCTGGAGTTGAACTGGTTGGTGTATTGGGTTTGAATTTGTGAACTAACATTGGAGCACATTTCCTCCGTCTAAATGGATCATCGCCTTGTTCCTTTTCCTTTTCTCGAGCTTCCATAATGGCCTTTTCAGATTCAATTATATTACGCATCCTATTTCTTTCATTAATGTAACTAATAGCAGATATATTTTGTGTCCTCTTTAGATCCAACTCTTTTGCTTTTGTTTCTAACTCTTCAATTTCTTGAGCTATCTTTTCAACATCATCTAAATTACCAAGTTGTTCAGCCATTTCTTTTTGTTTGAGCAGTTCCGTCTTCTTAACAGCGAAATTTACAGGATTTGATTTGAATTTTTCTTTCTCCTTAACAATAGCTTCTATATCACTATCTTTGTAACTGTAATTTATTGCATTTTGAATATCATTTCTCTTTTTTGCAATAAAATCCTTGGTGGGTAGTTCGAGTCTATCACGTTCCATGCGATATTTCCATTCATCGAATTCATTTTGGGTAAATGGAGTATTGGATATAATATCTAGTTTAAAATTTTTGACGTCATTAGCATGCTTCACAGTGACCACTTTATTAGTTCTTGTGCCTTCTAGTTGGTAAGTCCTTTGACCTTCAGAAATATTGGAAATCTGGCATAATTTATAGACTGGAACTTTTTCGACTGATGAACTTCTTTCTCTAAGACCAATGAAAACTTTGACGAAACATCCAACGACAGTGTCTTTGAAGAATGGCGAATGACACCATTGTTCCACACGAAATCGACTAATTTTAATTTTAGACAATTCTTCTAGAGTTAAAACGAAGTCTTCTTCTTTTTCTTTAACTTCCTCTTCACTACCAGCGTCGGCATCGCCATCTTCATCATCTTTATCGCTTCTTCGCCTGCCTTTGTCGTCATCACTTTCATCGCTTGAGGAAGAACTGGATGAAGATGAAGATGATTTCTTCTTAACTGCTTTTTCGTCATCATCTTCGTTTTCTGATGACGATGATGATGAATAAATATCTATAGCACGTAAACGTTGCTTCTGTTTTCGTTTCTCTCGTTGTTCTGAACAAAAAAATGAAAATACATTAGAGATTTTGATAAAGGACAAAGGATGGTTCAATCATGCATGAGAAACAATAAGATGGCCTCTAATGTGAGTGGTATCTTGCAGTATCCAATTGATTTTGATTCAAAATGGACTTTACCTTTCAATCCTTTAATAGCATTTTTGACTTTCCTCTTTTCCTCCATGTTTCTGCGTCGCTCATTGCTTCTCATCTTAGTTTGACTTTGCATCATTTCTTTTTTCTTGGCCATACGCAATTTCCGTTCAATTTCATATCTGGTCTTTAATACTTCTCTTTTCTCAGATCGAGCAAATAGTTCCATTTCTCTCTCTTTCTCATTCATATTGGCAAGTCTGATCTGATCTTCTTCATCACCGATAAGGTTTTCATCATAACCATCATTGAAACCTTCTGAATCTTCGTCCTCGTCTTCATCTTCAACTTCACCTTCCTCCTTTTCTTCTTCTTCTTGAGGGATTTTTTTAATCCTTTGTTTGGCTTTACTTTTAGCATGACCTTAATAAGAAGAGATACATAACATTAGAAAATTTTCAAAGAGACAAATAAAGGTTATAAAAAGGTTGTATGGAATGTTGATAAATGCAGGAATATATCCGCAGTAGAAGGTAACAAAGAGAGTAATGTATAAAGCCTAAGCTGAATACGGTATTTGAAAATTTCTTGGTTTATACTTACTTTTTCCACTTTCTTGCCAATCTTCGTCCTCATTGGAACTAGATGAAACATCTGAAGATGACTTCTTCCTTTTAGCCATATTTAAATACAACTAGAATAAAATGTATTAATAAATAAAGCAAACTAATTAAAGATGAAGAGAAAAATATTAAATTTTTTGAGGGACACTCAAAACATGGCTGCTTAGTTACCTCAACCAGTTCTGTCTTATTGTTTATGGTTATTTTTGAGAATAAAAGGCGCGAACTTTGTAACTTCAGAATAAAAGTTACTTTTTTGAATCATTTGGCGATAAATTTCTATTACACTATTTAAAAAGCCCATGAATTAAAAATTACTGAAGCTTTCTTCAGCTTCAATAGAGCTTCACTAGCTAACCAATATTGACGGAGCTGGAAATATCTAGAAATAATTCAAATCTATTTAGTGCAACTTGGATATTTTAAAATTTTCATTAGTTTAAGGAGAAATTATAATTGTAATCTGATTACCATATTACTCACAATACCCATTGTTAAACTCAAAAATAATCCGCTCTCTAGGTATTATACTGACTAGTCATTTTTCCGGTATTCTATTAAAAATGTTTCCAGTTTTCCAGAAATCCAGTTTTTAATTTTGTAATTTAAAGAAACCGACTTTAATCGATAGTAAGGATGCACGATATAAAAAAATTGGCCACTTGCTTGAATGGGAAGAATGATAAATAGATGCGACAAAATTTGGCCAAATACAATAAGGTTTATTTTTATATGAAGGAAAATTTGATTACACCAATTTAGCTTTTCGAGCTAAATTTTATTGATTTTTTATCGAGCAATAGCCAATGAGAGAAAGGAAATTATAGATACAAAATTAAAGGGCCATTCGATTGTTGTGGACTGGAGTAGGATGAATATTGGGTGATTAAGATGATATTTGAAATCATATTTTCTTTAAAGTTTTCTTTATTAATGCTAGACGTTGTTTATGAGCCTCTGTAGCTGGAGATTTTTTGTAAAGCTGCTTGAATTCATTAGCTAATGGCAGTGACCCAAATCCTGGAATGAATAAGTTCCAGTCCTTTTCCAATATTAATTGCACATCTTTAACTTCTAATGTTTTGGAACCTCGATGTTTGGCTAATTTACATGCATTTGTTACAACATTGTCAACAAAGTCATCGGCTATATTAAGCAACAAGTCTTCAACTTCTTCGTCCAATTGTTCTCTTGGATCAATTTCATTTACCAACTCTTGTAATCTTTGTTTATTCAAAACCATAACATTAGAAGAATCTTTTCCACCATCAGAGGAGCCATTTTTCATACCACTTATATTGGCTGTTGTACTATTAGTTGCTGTTATACTGGTTGTGGAATTGTTCATGGAAGTAACTGAGTCATTCATAGAGGAGGAACTTTTATTAGTGAAAGATGAATTGGCTCCAGCTGATCCCATGGTCATATTCGTAAATACTGGAGTAATTGTAACAGGCGAATCATTATTAGATGAACTATTAGTTGACGGAGGAGGCATTTGTCCTGATGTTACAGGAGTAATTGTAACAGATGTACCACTCATTTTGGTATAATGAGATAACGTTGAACAAAATAAATAAAAGTTGAACAAAATTCAGACAATGTTGATTCAATAAAATCTGAAATGTATGAGCTGAAGATAATAAATAAACTTGAAAACAAACGTAGTCTGTATTTCAGGGAGGAGTTTCTTTAAAAGAGTTTACTCTTTTGACTAAAGCCAAAATCTAGGTACAGACGCCATCTTACGACAGACAATTTAACCAGAGCGAAAAAAATTCTTGCCAATTTTTTCGCATCTGATTTTTGATTCTTGTAATTAAATCATGAATTTCTTTCCAACGAATCCACCGGTGATCCAATCTGAATCCAATTGAGAGTCTAAATAATTGTTAACTGAAGTAACCAAACAGATTTATGATTATAATTGTAGCACTGAAAAAGGCGCAATCTTTGTAACTCTAAGGACTGGCTTATCAACTCAAAGATGTCACTACTTGGAGACAAGAATTGAAAATTAATATTGAATTATCAAGATGACAATATTAATCAATAGAGACTGAAAAGGATTAAATAAATTGCTCTAAACGTCGCCCGGCCCTAGTTGACATTCAGTGATTACAATTAAACAATGAGAAGCTCCAGAAATAACAAAAAAAGGATTTCTCTTCAAGATAAAAAGACATTAAAATGAGTTATTAGACTCATAACAAGATATAATTTTTTTGTATTATGAGTTGAAATTAACATTAACCCGATGCTCCTTATTGCTAACCATTAAGACTATAATTATGATAATAACGATAATAAAGATAATCAACATTATCGTTATAATTCATTGTTTAACTTGAAAGATGCAAAACAGTACCATTAAACAGATCACACAGCAATACAAACACTCAGCAAAAAACGATGATTATTATATTTTGAGCACAAAAAAAACCAATATTAATTTATTTAAGAGTGTTAATTTAATTGCTTCTCATTTAGAGCTCTTTTTTGCTTAAATTAATTTTTTTTGTCTCTTTTCTTACAATCCTTCTTTTAACCAATTAACAATAAATCCAATGATTAACTGCCATCATTAACTAAATGAGCAAACACTATTTACTTGCAACTGTAAAATGAAAATTAAATTCAATGTTAATTCAAATTTGCACATCCAGATGATATCCATAATAATGATTATCAACTTTAATTAAATGGAACCTGCCGTTGAGTATTTTCCTTGGAACAACTTCAATCACAATTGAACCTATTTGTACAATTAAAATGGTGAACAATTTTGTTATTCAATAAATAAGTCAACTATGAAAATTTAATTTTTAATGTTCAGTTTTATTCATGATTTAAGGAGACATTGATATGGTAACCCTTCAGGCTATTGCTAAGTTTTCAATTTTAATCTTTTTTGATCCTCTTTTAATTGTAATTTGATGAGATGCTGATAAAAAATTGAATGCAATGGTAAATAGTTCATTATGTTCCGCTCAGTCCAAGAATCGTAAGCTCCGAATCGATGGATTTCATTACATGTAACATATCGGGAGAAGAAATTGTGACTGAACGAATGGTTAGATTGAAGAAAGCAAAATTTTTCACGATTTTGATATCAAAAATTGGAAAGTTCAACTTGGATGGAGTACATTTAATGCAATGAATGTAATGATGAAATGAATAATTAAATCAATGATAAATCATTTGTTGGTTTCGTACTGAGAAATCAAGATGAAATTATTGATGTAGTCGGAAGAGATGCAGACTCGGCAACAAAGTTAACTTTCCTATTGACAAAGATGCTTTCAATTTTATTCAGAAATGCAATAAAAAGTCGATTTCGGTTAATGGGTCAATGTAGTCGCAAGGACCAAAAAGGAAGCAAATGAACTTGGTAGTGTTAGCTTTAAAGTAGTTTGCCACGGACTTGTAAGATGAACGATTCCGAATTGTCCATGAAGAAGTGTATCAATTGAATAAGAACATTTTCAATAAATGAAAAAGAAACTCATCTCATCCGATTTATAAGTTTGACGAAACAGGTGTATTTATAAAGACAACTTCAAAGAAAACTGTAAGTCCAAAGTAAAAAGTCAACACAGTTGTGCACAAAGATGACGAACAGAAATCAGCTGTTTTAACTAGAAACTGTTACTAGAAACATGGTTAATCGGAAATAATATAAAAGTAAAGCCATTAGTGACCGGCAAAAGAGAGAAACTAAGATGCATCTTACAAAATCCTCAGCATCTTGTTCTATCTCCAATCTTCAACCACTTCACTGAAATTCTTCCACCAGCTAGAGTTCCTTGTTTCAATTAAATAATCTCTAGAAGGTTCAAATGATTGCCAAGAACACTGCAGGCTAAAGTAACAGATTTGCTAAGAAGTAATTTCGATCCTTCTCGATTACAAAAGTCTTTTTCAACGGGATTCCTATTTCCAGACATTTCGATACAAACGCTTTACTTGTTTACCATGACCTTTCAACATTTCATTTTTACGATCTTGAAATATTGAAATGATTTGAATTTTATGAGTTTTAACTGATTGATTAACCTTTTCCCCAGTACCACCGAGGTCAAAATTTATGTACAAATGTCCTAAACTTCCTCAAATTACTTTTACAACTTTACAAATTTGGCCGCAACACGCTAACTTTTATGATTTAACCTTGTTCGATTGTTCATCCTATTTCCTCGTCCTAATCATATATAAACCGAATGTTCTTCATTCTTGAATCATACAATGACATTCAGTACCACGAAGCAGTACCTGAATCAATGGTTTACTTTTGCCTAAACTTTGATTTTGTTATTAACATGTATTTTATGATCGTATAGTTTGCATCTTTACAATTGCAAGTTGGACTGAAAGACCTGTCTTCTAAGTCACCGTATTGGGCCAAGTTAGTTTCTCATTCGAGTGATTTTTGTGTTATTGTTTTAGCTTCGAAGTTTATTTTGTTTTGTACTCGTTGAATGATAACACTGTGAATCTTCTGTGAATTGAAGTATCACTTATTTGATCAACATTACAATTCGGTTTTTGCTTCGAACCCTTGTTGAAGTTAATTCTTGTCTATCAAGAAGTTGATCTCGAAGTGCTATTTACTGATCAAACTGATAAATAAGAGAAAAACTTGTTGATAAAGATCGTTGGAGAAGCCATCAATTAGATGTATCGACACAGACCGCCAAAAATTGAGCCTTGTAATGGTAAGTCGTATTCTAACTTACTGTTATTCCTAAGTGGTTTCGAAGATTATGCTGACACATATCATTGGAATGATAACGAACGAGTGACGCAAGTTGTCTACTACCTTAAGGATGACGCTAAAACATGGTACCATCAGGTAGCTAAAAATCTTATCAATGAAAAGAAAATTGGTTGGGCAAATTTCAAAAAAGAAATAAAAGAATACTTCCTCCCTGTAAACTGGATATCGAGCCAGAAAGATGAATTACGAAAGCGATGTCAACAACCTCAAGAACCATTACCAAATTACGTTCTAGCTAAGCTGGAGCTATGTGATCAAATTGATCCCACTATGAGTGAAGCTGACAAGCTTGATCATCTCTTCAATGGTTTGGCACCAGAAATCGCAAGAAGCTTGTACCAATTCCAACCCAAGAGTTTAGAAGAATTTTTAGACTACGGTAAGAGAATTGAAAGGGGCCACGAACTTACCTCTTCTGACTTGAACAATGCCGAATCAGCCGTTGCGCAATTATGTGACCATTTTGATAGGTTAGTTAGAAGTCTCCATCGAAGGAATTCTCAGTTTGTAAAGCATTTACAAACAGACAGAACGAAGGACAATCGATCAACCTGCTGGTCTTGTGGAGAGAAGGGACATCATTCATTCAATTGTCGTTCGAGTGTTGGGAGTGGTCTCATAAATGCTCCTTTTCGACCTCATAACCAATCTTACCGAGCTCGTGGTTGTTTTCAGACTGGAACATACTACAAAAAATCACAGCAAGGTCAACCTATTATAACTACCCCAGCGCAGCTACAGCCAACGCATTGACACAATTATCGTCGAACTCAAGATGTAAACTCAAAAAATCCTCAGTTTATATCCAGTTCACGTAATAATGCAGGTACACGCAGTTCAAAGCAATCGAAGTTTTTTATTGAAGAAAAGATACACCAACTGGACACCCGCTTATCAGGGCTCAAAAAAGAGAAAGTCAAAACTTCAACGAGCAATTAAGCATCAAAATTTAAACGTTAGTGTAACCTATTTTTAGTCAATCGGAATCAATTGGAATCAGTTGGAATCAAATAAATTGAAACCGATATGAAGACCGAAATTCAGAACTAATACCTTTCGAATCAATACAGTTTTCTTTTTATTAAACTTGAAACTTTTATTCAAAAATATTTTATGATCAAAAAGTTTGAAGCTTTACAACATGATGGCAAACATGCATGAATTTTCATGTGATACTTCTTAAAATCTTGTAAACAGACCTCAGACTTGAACCATAATCACGGAAGCTCAAGACCGTACAAGGCCATTACGTCAAATGACATTGTAATGATATTCAAAGGTCATTTTCTGAAAGAAAAAACTTTTCCAGAATCATTGATGCTCATTACATGTTCATTACTGGTTCTTGCAAAAAGTTATGACTGATTCCATTCCGATAAGTTAATTTGTTTTGAGTGCAATCCAGTCATCACGTTCTTTTCACCTCCGCATTGGCTTCTTCTTCTTTCTTCTTCTTCAGCTTCAAATTTCATGGCGTTTCTAGAGCACCTTTTGGAGCTATTGGGGCTTCTTGAAAACAAATGCGACAAGCTAATTTTTTAATAATTTTGACGAATGCAATTCAAAGTATTCAATACCACTGTCTTCTTTATATCCAAAATTGTTCGATAATGAATTAAAATGAATTTCTTCCGATTTCTACTCGTTATCCTGGTATTTATAAAACGATTGGAAATGCGCAAATTTCAAATAAGATTGCAAACAGATAGAGATGTTTTCAAATATTTAATTTTTTGTAATGAGCTTTTCCCTTTAACGGTGAACTCTAATTTTACGTAAATTAAACGTTTTTTCAAAGGAGCAGTGCAGATGGGATTTTGAAATCAGTCTCAATGTTATTGAAAACAACGAAAAGGGTAATTGCTGTGATAATATTGTAACATCATGGCTATTCCCACCACATTTAATCACATTGACATGTGTGCACATTG